TACAGCCGGACGTTAGTCTGCTTCAGAGGGCATCTGGTGTCTCAGCTGTAGATGAGCAATTTAGCCAGTATGGTACAACCGCTAGCTTGGGGTCGTTAAGGTGCACCACGCAGTAGTGATACACGACCGCACGCCGGTACGATGCTCATCCAGATCGAAACGGGCAGGGGTCGGGAGTGAACCCAGGATCCCTAGGTCCTGCAGCGCGAGCTTTCGCTCCACGTGCTCCGAGCTGGTGTGCGCTAGCCCACTCGGCCACCGACCTAAATCAAAGAATCATCAGGCAAGAAAGGTTTATAGGGTGAACACAAGCAAAAAGTGGCGCTCTTCTGAGCAAGTCGGAGCGTTAAAGTTTCTACCTTCTACTCCGTTTGTCAGTAATGTAATGTCTTAAAGGGAGTATTCATTGGCGATCATAGCTGTGTGCGCGACTGCTGAGCGCGTGCTGACGGCGAGCTTCGACTGTTCTTTTGCAAAGTGCATTCCACACCACCAAGAGTGCTAGTCTTAGCAGCCTATTAATGGGAACTCGTTCTGAGCATGCGCTCAAAACATCGCCCTCAAATATGGCGCTAGGGGGCTTCTGTTTTTCTCATTATGGATAATGCACGTGCCACCCACGCGGTTAGATTTTCATACTGCATACCAGTGCTGCATACTGCATACTGAACGCATCGAATGGAGCGATTCCAGGCTTCCTTTCCTTTCAACACTTCTCTCTCTCTCTCTCGAATGGAGCGACCAGAGCTGCAGCCAGCACCCGAGTTCGCAACTCGCATCAGGCGGAATAAGTGGCCATAGCTCTAGCTAGCTGTGGCCGCGACCCAGGCCGCGACACGGTGATCAGTGATTCCAGGACAGCAGTGCTTAGTTTTGCAAAGGGTAGGGTGTGTGGTGCGGCGGCTCGCATTTTGCGAGCGGCCACAACGACAGGACGTGATCGTGATGGTGCAGTGGTGATCAAGTGGATCCCGGCCCACATGGGCAGTGAAGTGTCGGTGAACGGTAATCCCAACCACAACGAGACGGCCAACGTCGCAGTGCGAGGACTCACCAACCGGGCGGCGACGAACGGGACAGTCTCACGTGGTGGAGAGTGGTTTAGTATGAAGGACCGCATGACTACGTATAACGAAATAGTGAAGTGGTATAGGTTAGGAAGGAGAGTAGTACCTCCCCCTCATTCCGAGCTAAAACGTGAGGAGGCTGTGATTTTTTGACAATTACAGACAGGGTCGCTATTAACACCGGTGCTAGCTAAACACATATATCCAGGACTTTACGCGGACGACACGTGTGGACTTTGCAAGAAGGCGAGGGCCACCGCGTCGCACCTGTTGTAGGACTGTGAACTCAACCCAAGAGAGGCAAGCGAGAAGACGACGATTCCCCCGCAGTTCGAAGACGCGGCGCGGAGCTGTGAATTAGAGGTTCAGCGTAGGGCCGTCCGGCTGATCACAACCGCTATAGATAGGCAACGGGCAAGGGATGATGGGGGAGGTGAGGGAGCTCGCGGAGGTACGATGGGCTCCCCCTCTCGGCCCCGGAGAGAAAAGGGGCGCGCCCGGGGCCGAGGGCTGGTGGGAGGGGAATAGCCGAGGGGGTCGTACCGCGTGGCGCGTAGTCACCACCACCTGCGTGTGGAGGGGCTACCGCCAACTGCTGGTTCCAAATAAAAGTTGTTCACCACCATAAAAGCTTGGTATTGGACGTGCTTGTACCGGCAGAGGGTGGCTATAGGGCCACCCTAGTTGAAGTCTCCTCACCCTGGGTTGTGAAACAATTCCACCAGGCGACGATACCTAAACTCCTCGCCGCAAATAATAAGCAAATCAGGACGCGTGGAAAAAAAGTCAAATATAACGTTTTTTTTTATTGACTAGAAACTGAAACTGCTTTTGTTCTAGTACGGCAGAGTTCACATTTATTTCAGAGGTTGTTAATTAAACTGCTGAACTTACAATAATTCTTTCTTCAGCGTTCTTTTCACCGATTGGGCGGATTGATCGATCAATCAGTAATGTTTGAAATACAGGGTGATACAAGGAGACGCCAGGCTCTTTAAATCGACCGGAAAATTCGGTTTCTTAACCTATCGCGCTACGACTTTGTGTACGACTTTGTGCAGAGTAGCCCACAGATGGTGCATTTTTTTTTTTTTGTAAAATTTGCAAAGAGCAAACTTACCTGAGGAAAAAGTAAAGAAAGAAAAAGGCTTAGCTCCTATGGAAACGCAACGACGCCGCCGGTCTGCAAACAACACTGCGCCGTTTCGCACGGGAGACAAGAGATGGCGCAACAAACGCCACCAACGCAGAGCCGTATATTGGGAGAGTTTGGCCAGTGGATGTGGCGACGAGGGCGCCGGAGAGGAGAAAAGTAAATGAAAGGGAGGAGAGCGCCGAAGGAGCGCGAGAGAAAGAAGGGAGCAGAGAGGAGACGGCCGCCATTTTTGAGCAACGCTGTCGGAGACCGGTCGGAGAAGAGCACTGCTGAGGCTACGCGCCGTCTGCTACAGGCCGACTTCTTTTTCGCCTGAATAAAAGTTTGTGGCCATACGCCGAAAAATCTTCATTTATTAGCTTTTTAACCCACCGAGGAATAACAGAATGTAATTTTCTTGCCAGAGCCAGCGATATAAAAGGCAATAATCGAGATTTAAATGCCGATCCCACGCATTCCGCCGGGAGAATGATTGAAGATGGCGGCCCTCTCCACTCAGCTGCGAGCAGCCGGGAGTTCACGCGCATGCGCTCATGCCTCTCACTCTGCGCCGCGTGCTGATTGGCTCGCTCGGGAGGAGAGCGTTACGGCGGCGAGATCATAGACTGACCAAACTCTCCCCATATACGGCTCTGCACCAACGAACGAGCATTCGGCGCCGAGAGCCAGCGTCTTTAGCAGACGATCTTTTCGACTCAAAAGCGGCGCGCGTTCCGCAGGCGGCGACAGTCGCAGAAACAAAAAAAGACGGGCGAGGTAACAGCAAGAAACTGCAGTTCCTTGTCTGCTAAATACGCCGGCTCTCGGCGTCGTCTGCTCGTTCGTTGGCGGCAGTTGGCGTGCGACCGCTTGCGCCATCTCTTGTCTCCCGTGCGAAACGGCGCCGTGTTGTTTGCAGACCGGTGGCTTCGCTGCGTTTCCATAGGAGCTAAGCCTTTTTCTTTCTTTACTTTTTCCTAAGGTAAGTTCGCTCTTTGCAAATGTTGCAAAAAAATGCACCATCTGTGAGCAACGCTCGATTTAAAGAGCCTGGCGTCTCCTTGTATCACCCTGTACATATCTTCTGACAAGGAATCACTATTTTAAGCTACAGCACATAAATCTGATTTATATCAAATAAACTTAATTAATTTAATCAAGTGTTTTTTTTACACTGCAGGGATTACAGACATACAAATATTATTTATAGACCATCCTTCTGCGCGCTGCCTTTGTCTGCCATGGGAATGCGTCTTAGCATAGGCAGTAGCTCTCTTAAATATTAGACGCCGCGCGTGCGTCCGAGGCCCGGTGACTCAGCAGTTTTCACCATGGCTGGTAATCACTGGAAATGTGTGTACATAAATCAGGAAAAAAATCGTTTCTAGATTTTACAACAGGCAGTCGGTCATTGTCTGCACGTGGGATGGCTAACGCGTCTGATCATAAGACTCGAGAACTCGTGAGGCTACGTTTCTCCGCCATAGGAAGTGATGGTCGAAGTCCGGCAGTCCGTCTTCTGTTTGGGCGTATGCACCAGGCAAACCTTACGGCTTTCCTCCTCGTCTCCTCTGCTTTCTGTGACCTCGGCGCTCATCATACTTAGAGTTCCTGTATAGGCTCCCTACGGGAGCCAGAGTTGCGCATTTGTTTTCCCCGCGCCGCCACGCCGCTATTCGCCGAGATCCATCACGTGAGGAGCAAAGCATCCGTTGGCGTGCAAGAAAGCCACCTTTACGGTCGCTCCGCCGACGTTTCTCTTGCCCCGGCGTATGTTTCCCTGCTTTCCGCCTCCTTTTCCTCCTCTCCTGTTTTCCATGCGCGGCGCCGCTATTCGTCAAATTTAGTCACGTGAGGAGCAAAGCATCCAGCTCGTGCGGGAAAGCCGGCGCTACGGCCACGCGCCGAGGCTGAATGCGCAACTCTGCTACCGTAGGTAGCATATACAGGAACTCTAATCATACTTGACTTCACACGCCACCTGCCAATGGCGTGCCTGTCGCCTGTCCATCTGTTAGCCGAGCCCTCGTATCCTTCCCCTTCCAGTTTTCGAAACTTGAACAGCATAAGGCAGGCTTTGAGGATTGACTGACAGTCAACACAGCGTGTGAGTGGTTGTCCGGACCCACGTGTTCGGCATGCTCTTAGTCTCAGCCTTTAGGGCACAGGCAGACGTGGAGGGAGGGGAGGGAGGGGGGGGGGGGGGGAAGAGAGAAGCATTCTCCCGGCGAAGAGAGACGGACGGAAGAGCCCGCCTCCTCCTTTCTTACATCCTCTCCACTTTTTACCCTGCCCCAATTTAGCTCCTCTCGCAGCTCTAAAGAGGGGAGCGCTAAAAGGATTATCTTTCCTGCACAACGCTCATAAGATGAACACACACACGTAAAGGGGAGGGCAGCGCCATTTTGAGAGGGAGAAAGAAGAGGGGAAAGGGCTACCGGCGCTCTCCCCCTTGCTGGTGCGTTAGAAAGAGTGGAAGTCCCGGGTGAGAGGCTGCTTCGCATGGCAGTGCACTACATGATGCATTTACTGCTCCGTCTTGTACATGAAACACCAAACAACGGCTATCACTGGACTTTTGCGGTGTCACGTACGCAGAACTTCGCCATATTTCCGGACACAACAGGCATGTAGTTCATCTGGAAAACAATTGTCGGCTCTAGTTCTAGGACCATGTACAGCAGGATTTTAACAAAAAAACCTGTCGCAGGTCTCCATTTCACGAGAAAAGCAACCATGTCCAACACACAGTATAAGTCTGCTAGTTAAGCACAATGAAAAACAAAAAAACATGAGGCTTCACAATAATAGGGTTTTTACTGACAGGCTCGGTACACAATACCAGTGTTGGCGAAATACACATCTCTTGAAAGAGAGGAGGGGGCGAGAAAAAAAAAAATAAGGGAGAGAAAAGAAATGACCAGCCTCGAACCAGCCCATGTTTTACATGGGGGCCGGGGATATATTATTTTCTTTTGCATGCACGCTCAATAAGTTACATATCTACAAAAAGAAGCGTACACATCCAAAAACAATGTGTATGTGTGTGTGTGTGTGCAGTCAAGTGTGTAGTACGTACACTTCGGCAGTTTGTTAACAGGAGGTAGGGCAGGGAAGGGGGGGGGGGGGGAGACCAGCCAGCGTAAAACTTAACAAAGAGGCGGTGGCGACACTATGGGAAGCGAAAGGAAATCAGCCGACCAATCGGTATGGGCTCGTGTGGTCAGTGCGTCGGCCAATCGCGTTGCTGCTCACACCTAATCGGAGCGGGGAAAGGCAAGAAAAGTAACACAAGGCAGATACAGTGTACGGGGATGACTGAATGGCAGCACATGTATTGTGACTAGGAAGTTGGGCTTTGACGGAGGAGCCTGCTGCGAAAAGATAAAACAAACTAGAGGACTACAGCTGGGAGGACCGGTTTTTGGAGCAAAACTATGTCTCCCTTCTTTTTTTTTTCTTTTTAGTGCTATTGTTTTTGTTTTTGGGTTAGGAGGGGAGTCTTGCTGGTTTCTACGGAAGCCTGGCTTCCTAATAGTGCACCAAGGCATCCGGTTTCGAAAAGCGAGCAATTCCGCCTTCTATCGTATCGCCGCGCACCGCGTTCGCGCCTCTGTCGAAGCGCGTCGTTTTAAGAGTTTCTTTCGAGCCTCTGGCAGCGGGGGAGAGCGGAAGTGTGGTGTGTGCATAAAAATTACGTATGTACAGATGCGAGTCTAGTGCACGTGGGCATAATCTGCCTGTCTCTTTTTCCTTCTTCGCTTCCATCGAGCTCGCAAAACAAGTTGTTTTCCTTTCTTCGGTCTTTGGGGAGCTGTACATAACAACCACTGTGACCCACGTCTTCCTTGCACGTCCAATGTCTAACAATCCCCTCCCTCCTCATCTCTTTCGCGAAACTCGAGCCACTCCCCAAAAGTATGTAGACGCGTGTCTCGTGTTGTACCTGTGTGTGGGTCGTGTTTCCGTCGGAGGCAATACGTATATAGCGGTTTCGCGCGCTCGCCGCGACAAACAAAGAAAACGGCGCAAGCCGAACACAACCTTTGACGGTTTTTGGCGAACGCTGCACCTTATTCTCGCAGGAAGCTCCTACGTCCGACCGAATTCATATATGTTACACTTGCCCAATGCCCTCTGCGAAACATCCCGAAAGCAGAATGCACTAGAGGATTCCTCGCACCGACCACCACATATTGCTTCTTGAAAAGTCTTCTCCTCGGAATGCATCGGATTTTATCTCGCGGCACGAGGAAACCGAGGCGATGGCACGGTCGCTTGCGTAGGAAGTGCCGGCACACCAATTTCCGTCGTCGGAAGTGACGAATCCTGCAGGTTTCGAACCCGCGGCCATCAGATTCCAGGAGATAAAAAGAAAGGAACGATCTTGAACTTGCTTAGTCGTAATTCTGTCCAGTTTGCAACGTGCAAATAAATACACAATCTGCTCGAACGAGCGATGGCACCAAAATTGTCGTCGCCGTTGCACGATTCCGTTTCTCCCGATTCGCACTCCAAACGCGGAATTTCGCCGGGACTGGTTTGGGCAGCGCACTCCAAGAACTAATAAAAAAATAAAAAAAAGCTTGCGTCTATTTTTGTCCTACAGTCTCTCTTCTAAACACACATGCACATACAAATAGCAGACAGAGCTGACGTATCTTACAAATGCTATGTACACGTCAAACGTAAACGATGCCCGGAAACACCCAATGGGGGAAAGAGCGGACCAACAGAACCGCCGTAGGCTGGACGAGGACAAAAACCGAACGAAGACAATGGCACCGACGAGCCTAGCACGTAAAACGGTGGTGACCAGTAGGCGACGGATGCCGCCTTCTCGCGTCGAAACCGCCGCAGGACTTTTGCGAACGCGGGAGTATCGAGGGAACGTGGTACGGGGGGGGGGGAGGGCGGGGACAGAGGCAGCCGACGCGATGGCGGAGCGTGTCGTTGTCGCGCGTCAAGAAACGTGTCGCGCGCTTTGTGCTCCTCTAAAGCTGCAACGCAAAAAAAAACGCCGCCGACTCTGGAACGACGCGGGGTGCCGGAGAACCATCTCAGAGATTCATTCTCCTCTCCCGGCGTTTGCGTGTGACAAGTGTGTGTCTGTCTGTCTGCGGTGTGTGCCCGTCCTTGTTCCTCTAGTCTGTTGTCGTGGCGGCGTGCGTCGCGCTGGCACTAGGCGAGTGTCCTACGTAGAATGTGATTGACCCTGTTCGGCTCCGTTGTGTGTTGAAGAACGAGAAGAAGATGATTTGCTGTGGCCGCTGGGAAGACGCCGCCTCCCAAGGGCCCTTGCTCGGCGTGCTCCGAGGAGAGACAGCACTCTCAAGATCGGATCCAGCCGCTGGGTTGCTGTCTGCAAACGGGAGTCCAAAAGAACAAAAAACAAATCATGCATCACGTAATAGCCTATGGAGAGCAGTTTCACCCATTCATGGGCACTAGAAACCAAAAACTGCACTCTTGATGCAGACTATGCTTAGGGTGCTTTGTTCTCGGGTTATATATTTTGTCAACGGCTATTTTAGTGTCTGTCCTCAAATTAACTGGAAATAGTATTTGCAGTTATTCAGACAAAATCTACGATGACATAGTTTCGGGAAGTGCAGGGTCAGCATGATGAGTGAAGTCAAAAAAAAGAGGGCAATCCTAAACAAGGACACACAAAGTACACTAGAACCCCTTTATAGTAAACCTGTCGGGACTGGGCAGCAATTTTACTATATCGGAAGTACCTTACAATTTGTCATTAAATCTAAGAAAAAGAATTGGAAATGACTATAATGTTCATTAGCCTAAAATAACCAGCAAAACTATAAAAAGAATACCACTCACACTGGAGTAAAAAACTAAGTTATTTCAGTTAGAATACCGCGGATCTGCCTATACCGCACTAATGAAAAATGTGCACAGTACGTTGGTATCTAAAACTGATGATCGGACAAGCGCCCATCCCGCATTTTTTTGCGATTATCTCTAAATTTTGAGTGGCCGCCTGCCCGGTATTTTACGATAGGTTCTTTGTACCTCACAAGGAAGGTTTCAAGGCTTGTCAGTTGGGCATAGTGTTGCCCGTTAGCCTCTGCAGCACTTAGAGTCCACCTGACTGTGTCTAAAGCCAACAAGAGTTCATGTCTTGAAGGGGCAGGTTCATGCTCTTCCTCCCCTTGCTCGATCGTCTTCCACTTCGAGCAGCTGCCACCTCTTCAGATATTTCTTGTTCAATCAACTCTCCGGAGGTAATGACATCTTCATCCCATTCTAACAGTTCTTGGAAGTTTATGGGGTTTGGTGCATTTAGTTTTTCGATGGTCTGTTGTAGGAGACAGTTGTCTTCATCTGTAACATTGTCCTCAGCAAGAGATTCAGAGTTGGGTGAGGTTTTCAGAACCCCTGCCTTGAACGCTAACACAGCCTAAAAAGAATTTGTTTTTAAAATGTTTTTGTAAGGCAAGTTTTTATGGAGTCGGAAGACTACCCAATCAATAATTTGCTACAGCGTCACGTATATTTTTAATACAGTAAAAAATGCAGCTGCTCGAAACCGAAACATACTGGGGAGAAAGAAGAAATATAGAGGAGGAGAAAGTTACCGAAAGTCTCGTGGCTGTGCAACTCTTTTTTTAATCAACGTATTTGCAGAATTTTAGAAGCCACAAAAAGTGAGTAGCGGGGTTGCAAAGGCGGTCTAGTGTGCACGACGAGACAACACTAAAAAGCAGCGGAGCGGCCACTTCTCGGTTATGTTTGACGAACTCAGACGACCTCGGCGGACGACGCAAGACCATAGAGTAATTATAAATTATAATTACTCTATGGTCTTGCGTCGTCCGCCGAGGTCGTTTGCGCCATAAAATTGGATCTTTAGTGCCCAACGTCCAACAGCAACTGCTTTTTTTTTTTTTCACCAGAACTTTTTTTTACATTTTTGCTATTGTTCTGTACAAGATGCATATTCTACACCAGGCGCATACTCTGCACATATATAGACTCATTCGCAGCACACTTTGAGAAATTCCTACAAATAAAATCACTATTCGATATTCGATATTCGGCTTTTTTTTCTTGATTCGATTCGGTATTCGATTCGAGAACTACTATTCGGTATTCGCACACCCCTAATTATAATGTATGCTAGAGGTTCAGCTGGCACTGTGTGTTGTTGCAAATTGAGGATGACAGCAACCAGTCAAGAATTGACTACCGGTAATGCATTTCTATGGCAAAAAGTGAGTGCATTGTCTCCCTGTGCTTGATTAAGACAACAAATATTACAGATAATTCATATGTACTGGGTAGCTTGGAACATTTCTCAATCAGGCAGATGAAATAATTGGTCAGTTACGGTGTTTTTCTTCAAAATTATTGCACTGAAAACAATGCTAAAACAGCTTCATACATGTGTTTATGTGCACTATAGGACACTTAGCGCAAACACAATGTGAGTGTTTTTCAGCATGGGGGATATACGTGCCAAACAAACGGACAACTGGAAAACCAAGAGAGAGGCAACAACTATGCAGTAACACTGGATCAGTAACTCCGTGTGGGGGTAAGATCGAAATAAATCAAAGGCCATGCACTAAAGTCTGATTTTCAATAAGTACTGCTTTATTCTTTCTGCTCAGTGTGAAGATGCTTGTTCTACGCTCAAAACATCACCCACACGTTTAAAATCCTTGAGAACAAGTGCCTGATAAAAGCTGCCCGCCATGGAAAATAATAAAAAGACACCTTTCATAGCCCAGATACGTCTTCACGTTTTGAATGTACTTAGCCAGATGCAAGACAGGGTCATTTTCATATAGTGACAGGACCGGCATATTAGCATTATATATGCGTCACCAGAATGCTAGTGAGCCTTGAACACACTCTATATTCCTTTCAATTGTTACCTTGCTTAGAACTGTCGCTTGTTTTCACACACCTGCTGTGGAACAGAGGTTTGGGCCTGAGACATAGCAAAGTTAAACATAGTTCATTAATGAAGAAAAACGCACTAACTAAAGCAATTACCCTTTTACAATGTTAATAAAGGTACAAACTATTCTGTATGACCTAAATAATAGAAGTTTTCTATGTTATTTTCCGGCGAAGAGACAAAATTCCCGTGCGCTTTTCCATAGGAATGCACAGGAGCACCGCAAAAGTAGACTGGTTGCTGTCCTGCTTCAATTTTCCTCCCTGAAGTCACATAGACACTAGCGCCAGTTGAACCTCTAGCATACATTATAACAACTCTATGTGCAGGACACAGGTGCAGGGGCCCAGGGATTCCAATATTCGGCGGGAACAGAAACAATCGCAAGCAACCGCAGCGCCACTGACACTTCTTCAGGAAGCCGCCAATGTACGACGTAGTGCTGAGGTTAGTCTGCACTTTCAGCATTTTTAGGCCCCGATTTTATTGAGAAACTATACTCATGTGAGAGAATAATATTTAACCGGTAGCACCGAGTTTTACTACAGTCTAAGCTCGTTATAACAGACCTTGATTTTGACCAAGATTTCAGCCTGTTGTAAAAGGAGTATGTTGTATGCAGATATGAAGTTGAGTCAATGGTATGTAGATTCGAAACCAACCTAGCTTCACAAATCGGTATGTTATATCCAAATGTCTGTTCTAACCAGGTCTGTTGTAATGAGCTTAGACTGTATAAGCGGTATCCAGAGTTTTGGCAGTTTACTATATCAGAATTCTGAGCCATCGAGAAAATAGGAATTTGATCGGGACCAACGGTACCTTTTATTACAACCGGGGTTTTACTACATGCGGAGTTACTATAACATGGTTCTACTGTGCAATGGGGAGACAACCATCGGAGCAAGATAAAACTTTGTCTACGTTTCATCTTGTTCCGATGGTTGTTCCCATTATCCTCCGTGCGTCCTCGTTTAGGAGTGCCCTTTCTTTGTTGTGACCCCTAGTTTAGGGGTTGTAGGCCATCCGGCTAAACCTTGATTTTCTTTTGTGTGTTTTTCTGTTTAGGTTCGTAACCTGAAACAATATAAAAAGAAATATAAAAAAACAACTCCCCCCTGTTCCGGAAACAATGTTATGGATGTGAAAATAAAAATAAAACCCGAAAACAAAGGGCCCTAACTAGAATTTGTTAACAGCCAAGCTGGTAAGATGGTGCAAGTCGCCAGCTTGTGCCGCTCTGTAAGTAAAAAGGAGCTCTTTCCCTTGAGGGTATCTCGCTCCCTGCTCATCTCTGCAAGCCTCTTCGCCTTTCGTTTCAATGCTGGTTGACGGAAGTGTTCTCGATAGGAGGAGAAGGAGGATTTTGTAGAGGGAAAGAGCTGCTTTTTGTGACACGATGGTGTGTTGGTGGTGATACGATGGTAATGAATTTTTGATGAAGACGAACTGCGCGAGGTGGTAGACAAGGCGTTCTTGGCAAGGTCGAACTCCGTGATGGGAAGGATCACAACTGTTGAATACCGGTGTGCTTTGTGATCTGAATGCGAGTGAATTTGACGAGTTTCAGATTCGGTGATGCACGTGCTAGTGAAACCTGACAAGTTTCAGACTAGGTGATGCGAGTGTGAGTGAATCGGAAAGGTCTCGGATCTGGTAATGTGAATGCGAGTAAAACCCGAGGTGTCACAGATATGGGAAAGTGAACTTGAGTGAATCTGATGAGTTTCAAATTTTGTAATGCGAGTGCAGGTGAACCTGATGAGTCTGAGATTTGGCGTCGTGAATCTGAGTGAATCTGACCAGTTCGAGATATGGTGATGGGAATGTGAGTAAATCTAAAGATATTTAGGCTTGGTTATGTATATATTGCGATCGAACCTGACAAGTTTCAGACTCGCTTGTGTGAGAATGACTAAATATAACTTCCGAAATGGCTCCCCCAAAATTCGAATAGATTATTTGAAGACCCGAGGGGGTCAGGGGACTCACAGGGGCAGGGTGAAGTCATGCAGCGCCTGTCGTACGGAGGTGAAGAGCGCCCGGCTGCCGCCGCCGTCCTCGGGAGAGCCGTTGTTGGAGTCGACGCAGAGGGCCTGCAGCCGACTCAGGTAGCAGTCGAAGTTGTCCCCCGTGGGCTTCTCCTCCAGGGCAGGGATGCGGTCCAGCAGGGAGATGAAGTTGTGCTTCAGCGAGTCGTAGTACTCGTTCAGGCTGCCCGCCCGCTGGGATAGCGCCTGGTTGTCCTGTGGCGGAGGAACGCACAGTGTGAGGTACACTCGGGGAACCTTGGACAACTCAAAAGTGACCCCACCCCTCCTTAATGCTTTCTGGCCGTGAAGGTATTTTAAATAGATATATATCCAACCTTAACGTCTGTAACACTCCCAGCATGAAGCTTGCTATGACGCTCGTTCATGACGATTTTCTTTAAAAAAAAAAAGAACCCACAAAACACAATCTGCATAAAAGTTTTCTTCTAACATTCCACTAATACGGGCAACTGGCAAAGCGGTCACGATTTTATTATTATATGATTAAAAGACCTTGCCAAGTCTTGCTGGCCGCAACGGAAGAGAAGGACGAGGTGCCACAAACCCACCCGCTCAGTCATGCGTATCTGCTGCTCCATCTGGGTGATGTCCGTGCGCAGGCGTATCATTTCCGACTCCACCTTGGCGTTGTACTCCTGCAGCTCCAGAATCTCTTCCTCCAGGGCACGGATGTCCGCGTCGTTCTCAAGCCCCGGACCACCACCCAGCACCGGCGCCGGACCGAGATCTGTGTTGGCCATCCGGTACGCACGAAGTGAGCGGAGCTGCCACCATGGAGCGTGTCGGCACAGCGGTGAAATTTAGGTGGCACCGTAACAGTGGCAAGTTTAGGGAGTGTCACACGGACAAGTTTCAGGGATACTTCCAGACAGCGCTGTAAGAGGCAAGCTTTGGGGATCACGGCGGCGAGTTTTGGGGACGCTTCTAGGGAGTATCGTCAGAGAGGCAAACTTTAGGAAAACAATACGGAAAGTTGGGCTAGTTGGCACAAATTCATTGAGAAAAATGGCACGAAGAGAGGAAGAGGGCGAGAGACGAGAACTCGCAAGACCAAGTGCCGACTATTGACCAAAAGTTTACTCGACAAGGCACACAACATGCAACTCCCGCTCTGGATGATTCCAAATGACACTTCCAATCTTCCATTACGTCCAAAGCAAAGTTTGGAAGTGTCGAAAAAAAAAAGAAAAATCTTTCAGTTGACACTTGGCAGGTGGTCTCATCAGTTCTCGTTCGTAGTCCTCCGCATCTTTACAAGCTTTTTTCCACGGTAAAGTTTACAAGGTGTCGAGATGAGGGCGAATTTTACGAAGCTTCGCCGTAGCGGCGATTTCGAGGGTGTCTTTGGAGACGACGCGTCTGGTGGGCCGTAGCCGGCTTTAGAGAGCGAGGGAGAAGCCAGGCGCACCAGTGTGAGGCCTGGGGTCATTGTCGGGGGCCATCTTGGCCTTCTTCATGGCCTGCGTTGCCCTGGGGCAGCCGGACAGGCTCCGGTGGGTCAGGAAGCTCCCGTTGGCATGCCCAGTCCCGTCGCACCCGGGGGTAGGACAGCTGCACGAAGGGACGGTTGGGGAAATCCACACTCCTCTCTATGCCTCCGTTGCATTGACGTCTCCAAAATGACACTTTCAACTTCCCGGGCATTCGCCAAACCGTTCAGGCAGAATTTCCGGGCCACTAAAGCATCCTGAATAAGCAAATAAAGCAATAAATTAAGCAGTCCTGTGTTGATCCGCGGTAGAGCCACGGTGATGGCTGCAACGAGTCATGGCGAAGTTGTTGGACATGGCGTCGCCTTCACGTACTATGGGGTGCATGAACGGAAGTGTCTGGAACAAAATAGACATCTGACCATTCTGTTCAGAATGCTTTTGTTTCTTTTCTTGTTCCGGAGCGCGTGAAAGCGCGTCTCCTGGCACAAGCTCTTGGCATTGACGGTGCTTCAGTGGCATTTTGTGATCGGCTATATTTTGTTTTCTGGAGATCATGAGTAGTGTGCGTCGGGTACTACAAAAATCCCCAAGTATAGATTGAGTTAGTCATGCCGTAGCACAGCTCGGCGGTAACGCCTCCGTCTTGCACGCGGCGGACCCGGGTTCAATTTTCGAGGGCAGCAGGCGATTTTTTTTAAGGATTTGGCAACATCGACAACAGACGCCCTACATCACCAACTACAACTACTACAACAGCCACAACTACAACAACTACATCAACAACAGACGTCATTTGCAGTGGAGGGGAGAGCTCGTAACAGCAATTGCTGTAAAGGCTAAACTCCATGGAACGAATTATGTGATGAATAACTGGCGAACGCTGCGCGACGGCACGCTCGCTTTGTGCGCGACGTAGCAGCCACTGTGTTGATTCCATGTGCAGAGCGAAAGCCGCCGGGAAAAAATTTGTCGGTTATTCGCAGCATATTCGCCCCATGGAGTTCAGCCTTAAAACTTTCAAGAAAGGACGGCAAACTCCAAACGCACAACGCAAGTGGAGGGAGAGTCGCGCTGGCTGGGTTTCCACGGCCCGGGCGGGTGGCGGGAATTTCTGGCCAATAAAGGCCGGTCGCGACGGTTGCAAAATAGCGGCGGCCGGAGAGCTCTTTTTGGAAAGGTCTACAAATACTAAACACTTCTCTCCCATCTCAATCTACACAAAGAGTGAAAAAGAAATAAAGCCAATGACTTTTGAACCAATCATTCAGATAAAGGCGGATTACCGAAATTATTTGGGGCTTGTAAAAGCACCTTAAAAAAAATGTGAAAGAAAGTGGCATTTGATTCTGAAGCTTGCGAACAACTGGCCGAATAACCTTCCGGAATGAAAAACGCCCACAGACTTTTCGAGCGGTCCCTCGTGACGACATTATAGTGTAAACAACTTTATTTTTGTGCATTCAATACTTTGCAAATTTTCCTCAAGAGTTAATTTTGAGAATATCTCGCGGCCAAACAATTTCACATTTGGGAGTGTTATGTTGTGTATTCGTTATCATAGCTAGTGCAATGTATCATAGCAATACATTGTTTGCAATATTGTCTAATTCGCACAAATTAAGCCTTCGCAATAAATAAAGTCATTCACAATATTTGAGGAGAATGTGCCAACTCACCTAGCACCTTCTGCCTTGATGGGCCTTCCATCCACACCAACAACCTCATGCCTCAACTTGCTTCGGTTGGCCAGAGGACAGCCAGATGCGCTGGAATCAAGATAAAGACAGAGTTCATGGATGCAAAGAGAAATCAAGTAGATTGGAAAAGGTCCACAACAAGCAGCATTGTAAGCTGCGGGTTAGTGTCACTATGTCTAGTGATTCTTGTCGGGGGCATGACCCTAGTTTAGGGATTTTCAGGGGCTTGTTTTCTTAGAACCTAGCAACCTCTTTTCACTTCGGTTTATTTCTAAAGTCGCTGAATAATTTATAAAAGAAAAAGGACTACAACCGTCAATGATGACGACACTGGTGTGCCATCGTCGATTATGAGTTGCGATCACAAAAAGGGTTACCAAGGTTCATGTTTGGGGCTGCGATTGGCACTTGTACGTACGATCAAACTACAGCTACAACCAGTATGATTGGCCCTGATCAAACAACACTCCATTTTGCATAACTTGGCAAAAAAACTAATGCTAAGGCCCTATCGAGTCAATAAGAGATGGAGCGAAGTATGCGACAGCTCTCCGCCGGAGCAGTGCATTTGGCATACCACTTGGATGCTCCGATTGGCTAGGTAGGGCCATAGCCTTCACCGTTCGCATACTGACGAAATGGATTATTAGTGAAGCTCAACCAGTACTAATCGTAGCAGTACGAACTTGGCACTTGTAATTTTACCGGTACCGCCTGGGCTACCAAAGCCTGAGCTAGCAATTGTACCAGCACAAACTTGGTACTTGTAGCTCGAGCAATTGGTACTGCGCACAATAAAGATGTGCTTGAGTCCTTGAAACATGCAATCAGCAAATATTTATTCACAATTTACTTGACTCTCAAATGTACTGCCCAAATTCAACCTCATTTCCTGAAATTTCAGGATTTCTTCGTTGCTAAGGGTATCATTGAGTGAAACAAAAAAGACAAATGAAGTGTGTTTTTTACTATGATTGCATTAAATAATGAACAACAAATTTTAATTGCATCTACAGTAGCTTGATGTACAATAAAACAGGGGAAACTAAAACAACTCTTTAGGTGCACCCACACTTTTAAATGATTATATAGTATAACAATATAAAATGGCAGTTAAGCTCACTGATTTTCATAAAAGCCAATACTTGTAAAATATTCAAAGAAATCTTCAATAGCACAAATCAGCCTTCTCTCCCAAACCCCTCCCAAAGTAAAATAACCGTTGCACGTTTATGCTGGCCAAATGAGCCACCTAATTAGCATTGATTCGTTAAAAAGACAGTGTGCCTTTAAAGAAAAAAATTAAGTTTCTTTTTAATTGCAAAAATAAACTATGCATCGCCGAATGCTCAGTCTCCGCATCAATGAAGCACTAATGGTCCAGACCAGACGCTAAGTTTCAGAGCTAACCGTCATCTCACTCAAAAGGTATGAGGGATTTTTTTTTAACACTTTCAATGGGGAAATGGGGCCATACCCGGTAGTCTGCGCCCTTCAGCCCCATGTATTTATGGGGAGATTCAAACAAAATGGTCCCAAGCAAATTTTGAGACATAGTTTGCTTGTGTTTTGGGGGTTAGTCGATTGTTTGCACTTGCTGCAAATTAGACAAATAAAAAAAAATGTTTTGCTGAATACTGAAGATATGGAATGCCAACCACTTTAAAGTTTACATATTCAATTGAAAACATGTTGCGTGTCAGTAGCTGAGGCAAGAAGAAGGAAAAAGTATGCTATATAAATAATATACAAGTACATATATCAAATAATTTATATTTGATATAACCAACACGAAAAGAAAGATGTTGTTTCATGACATGCCATCACAAAAATATATATTGGACGTTTCTGTTTATTCAGAGCAAGGTCGGTCTGCCTTCGAGGAGCGGCGACACAGGTTTATGCTATAGGCGAGAAATTTTGCCAGTGCAGTACCACCGCTAGCCTGTGATCTTTAACGTGCATCACGCAGTAGAGATACACGACTGCATGTACACCATCACAAACATGTAGTATGTGCATGATAATGTCTGCACCATCATGTGCATATGTTTTCTTGCAGCGCCATTATGCTAATTCGAAGTTATAAAATGTATTGTCGAATTGTTTTAAAATTTCTTTCTGCACCTATGCGGAGCGCAAGTTCGTCTGCTGCTTGCACAGGAGTAGCGGTGACGCCAAAGCGCCAAGCTCCGACTGGCTCGGATTGGAAGGATAGTGGGTAGACCCCAAGGTAGCTAGCATTGAGGTCTACCCAGTTCTTTACAATCAGGCCAATAAGAATTTGACGTTCTGACGTCACCACTACTCCTGAGTGAGAACCAAACAAACTTGCGCACCGCATACTACATTCTACTAAAGTCACAGTGCAGCCAATGCTACGAGCTGATAGTACCAATCAAGTAGTGCTGAAAACAAAACATACTAATGGCGTTCGTCGACTTCTTTGTTCATGTTATTGCCGGCTATTCCAATCAATCGCAGAGTGCATCGCAACCTTGCTCTTTTAGTGTACACATGTGTATTTGTGTAGTCACTTCCAAGCTCCAGCTTTGTACAGTGCACTTACCTTTGCGAATAGGAGCCATAGAGCCAAGTGAGTGATAATAAAACTTAAATTAACTTTTGAACTCTTTTAGTTATTTCCTCAAAGACATAACAAAAACCTAAAATGCATTGAAATATACATTACACATCTGTTGAATACAGCTTCAGAGTAGCAAGTTCACTAAAATTTCAAAGAGCGCCCAAAGAGGCAACAAATCACTAGGGGCCATTTTGTCCTACGCCCAGTTGAGGGCTATGTCAGGCACAGTTTTTCCTTTAAAAACTTCTGAAAAAATGCTTATACATTTTTAATAATTTAACGGTCCGTTCTGAAACTTTGGCATCCGTTCTGGACCGTTTGCGCCAACATTTGGGCGAAGATTGAACGTTAGGAACGAGTAGTTCATTTTTGCAATTAAATAATACTATATATATATATTTTTCTCTTTTCTGAGACACTTCGTAGAATACAGTAGGCGTTCAACTCATTACACAAAACACTTATTAATTGTATAAAGTTACATATATGAATAACTAATAAAAAAACGCGTAAGAGCGTTTTTTTTTTTCGCACTGGTAACTTGGGAAGCTATTTTAGCTTATTATAATAATTGAATTGAGCATGAATTCAGCTCAAATAAAGAAAGAATAATGATAGATGTTGTATTTGGAAAGATCCATTTTGAATGCGCGACGCAACGCTACAAGAAGGAAAAAGTACCAGGAACGCGACACGAGCAATTCTTGCAGCCGCAAAATCGCTTGCGCAAGAAATAGCTCGAAAAGAGATCAAAGTGCCCATGCAAGCTACAGTTCACTTAAACGAAGCGAAACGACACCACAATATTAGCAAAACCAGTTTTTCTAAGCGCTACGAAAGATATACGAGAATTTAATACTGCTGTTCAAAACTAACGGAGACGCGTTTTTTTTTTTTTTCTCTCTTTTGCGGTTTTCATACGGGACGCTAGATACGGTTAGTCATAAGCAAGCGATAGAAACAAAAGGAAGCAAGCCTTATTGAAGGGTCATTAACTTTAAAACAAACACTTTTTTTTTTCTGTTTTTTACGACATATCGCAAAGAAGCTTATCTCGCGCAAAGCAGTTTACGCAACGTTTGTTTTTTTGTTTTCCGCCTTACAACAGACGGACGGTTGAGCAAAAACGGCCGACGCGACATTTAAAGCGGACAAAAACGGAACAGTGATCTCCGCTACTGGTCACCCCGCGTAACTAATCTGAGAAAATAGACCAATCGTTCGTCTTCCCCATTTTTCCTGACTCGTTACGGGAACGGTAGCAGATAATTGGCAAACGCGCGTGGAAAATGAGAGAGCGAACCTACCGCACGCAAGATCGGAGCGCCATATTTGTTGACATCGATGACGATTGTGAACATTATCAAAAAAATACGCAGCGGACTACAGTTTCGGTTTCGGATTCCCTCCGTTCAACGAAATAATATGTCTATTCAAACTTAATAAAAACTGCCAAAAAAAAAAAAAAAAAAAAAAGATAAATAAAATAAAAGATAGAAGAAGAGGAACTAAAGATTAACATAGAAACACTTCAACTATCACCTCATCTATATAGTCCCAACAAGAGCTTTAAACATCACAATATCCTTTCTGTGGCGCGAAAGAAATATGCAGGCGTGCGCAGTGATTAAGCTTTATCAGAGATTTGGTTTGCTGTCACCGCTGTAGTACTTCCCCAGCAACCGGAGACAGAGAACGGTAAAAAGATGGACAAAACATCAATAAGTCTCAGATTGTTGTTGTTTTGTCCATTTTTTTTCTATTGTTTTATGTTTTACGTTACTATGGAAGTTCTTCACCAGCTCGCCTGTGTCTTCACCCTTTCTTCGACTGCTGTACTAGCCGGTTTATAAGACGCTAAGAGTGGGCAAGCTAAAATTTATAGATCTTGTCACAATCGGATGAAACCAATTTTCTTTAAAACAGATAGTAATGTTTGAACCCCCCTCCCCTCCCCTCCCCCCCCCCCCCCCCCAGAAAAAAAAAACAAAAACAGTTTTATGTTAGATTAGATAACTGTTTTGGTTAAGCTAACCATATTTCAGACATTGCTCCGACATATTTCTGCCAGAAATTGACTAAAGCCTGTGGTTTACCTATATTGAACTCACAACAAGAACAAGCTCAGTTTTCTGATGGTATAGCCAAATGCATGGGCAACGTTATATATAAACACACGTCAAGGGTTAGCAGTTGCTGCATGCAAAGCTGAAGATGAAGCAAGGATTAGTCGTGTGTACCTTCGGTGAGATTGAAATTTCCCCGTGACATGTCCTGAGCCGTCACAGCCAGGGATTGGACAGCTGAAGGTGGTTAGAGGAGGAAAGCAGACAAAGGAGACATAAGCGGGAGTAAATGGAGGGCATCACACTGACGCCTCTAGCTAGGCACCATAGAGCAGGATTTTCTACAACAGCTACTCGTCACTAAGAATATGACTGGCGTCAATAACGACATGACTGGAGCTCGTGTTCAGATTGATGAGTGCCAGCCAACCGCTGACGCAGCACTCGTGCCTGATCTGCGTCCTACGCAGGACTCTGGTATGCGACGTAGAAAATCCAGCACTACGACCTTGGTAGGTAGCTAGGAGGTGTCTATCACATACATGCAGAGCACAAGTTGATAGGACAACAAATGCTTAACAAACGTTGAATGCAAGGTGTCACACATGTCAAGGGGCTGGTTAGAGCAAACCTCGACTAGTAGTGGTTAAGAAATGTCTTGGTTAGAGTGGTTATGATGGTAGTTCACAGGTCTTTGTCAGGACAAATTGTTTCAAAGTGAGAATAGCACACAAACAGAAAACATTGTTTGAGGTATACAGATGTGTACAGACAACGCTTGACAAGTGCAGGGAGGGTATTCATTTGGCGATGAAGATTTATTAAGAATCGTTCACATCAAATGTTATCAAGAACGACAGGCAACTTGACCACTCCTCAAACAAGGTGCACAGACAGGTGAATTCATAGAGCAAAGTGCAGCCAAGATGTGAAGTTAGTCGAAGCTGGTTCGAAGAACTTGAAAATTAATCTTTTAGAGGCCTCGGGGTAGCAGTGATGTTTCGCTAAGAGCTGAGCGTCTTAGAAAAACGTCAGCTGCCACGCCGACGCTTCGAGGAGATCAGTTTATAGAGAAGTGCAACATTGTTACCGTAAGCTTTGGTACAAGGACAATTTTGTGGGAAGATTAGCTGTACTTCATAAATCTACAAGTCTTCGAAGTTCAGCTCGCTTCAAGTCAAAAGCACACCTTTGGTCACTCACAGCTTAAGAAATGTAGGATGTGGTGAGTCTCAGTGCATCTAGATTGTGGCATTAGCCGATAAGAATGCTGAAAGAACCAATCACGAAGAGTGCGCATTGTGTCTTGCATTTCTTAAGCCATCGGTAAGTATAGAAACGTCCGCTAAACCACGATGACGGCAGGCATAATTTAATTCTCGATAAAACATAATGGCCAACCAACTTGGTAGGGATTTTTCAAGACACAATAAAAAAAAAAAAACACACACAGGCATACTCAAATACAGCAGGTAACCAAACCGAACTCACATGAGGCACAAAAACATAAAAAAACAAACCGAAAAAGAAAAAGAAAAGGCCAGAACGAAAGAGAAGGAAGTGCAAAGAAGAGTCCATGGAAGCAGGTTCCTCTACCTTTTGCCTTGGGAGCGATCTGCCTTCCAGCAAAAGCTGTCGCCAGTTGGCGGAGAGTGGTAATCGAGGGTGGGTGACTGCGCGCACATGCTCAACCTAGGACGGTTGGGGGACGAACACACGCCTCCGTCAGTACACCACACGTCCCAGGTCTGGCAACGGCACAAACCTAGACTGCCGCAGCGGCGACACTCAAACTCGCTAATGTTTGCAGTAGATCGATTGACAAATTTTATGGGGGATGTGGAGCTAGGGCTGGAGGAAGGTACGGTGGTCAGTAATATGGGCTGGAGTGTGCGAGTGGTTATCAGGTGCTACGGGCAGCCACACGGTCTAGTGAGCATAGAGCAAAGCATCGGAGTGACGATGACGGTGACTGAATTTGTAAATGCACACCCCCCCCCCCCCCCTCTCGAGTGTGATGCCTTCCGAACCCTGCCACACGTTGCCGTGCATACTATCCTGAGCACAACAAAAGATAAACAGGTATTGTGAGGGGGGGATGTGTCCATGAATTTAATCACCGCCATTGTCACTCCAACACTTGGCTCGATGCTCACTAGACTGCATGGCCTGTAGAGCCTGGTGCTGCTCATGCATTCCAGCTCTTCTCGGCCACTGCGCATGCCGGAGAATGAAGAGGTCTAGAATATCAGCGAATGTTTTCTTTGGATTGCTCTACCTCCGGCATTAGAGTAAGGCAGGACTTAAAAACAGGCTGGTTCAAGGCTGTCCATGATGGAACAAATTACCGACATGAATTTGTCACTGCTACATGTTATAATGCCAGGTCGGATTGCTTCTTGCATCGAAATGTGAGCAATCCACAGTCTTGCTGCATCTTAGTCATGTGCAAATAGCAGATTTTTTATATTAGAATAGGAGAATAGTTCAAAGCAAATAGTGGCTTGGGTCAAATATTTTCGAATTGAATATCGAATAGTTTCTTCAAGTCTTTCACCACTGTTGCACCATGCTAAACGAAAACCCAGCTAAACTTGCGAAGGTTCCCTTCATCCATTTATAAGCTAATTTTAATCTAGGTAACTATATTTATGGACAGTGATCTCAGAAAGTCTGATGCCTTGGAATGGCAAGTAAATGACAGATTTGACATTAAATTAAACCTATGCGGAGCGCAAGTTCGTCTGCTTCTTGCACAGGGGTTGCAATGATGTCAGAATGCCAAGCTCTTATTGGCTGATAGAAAGAAAAATTATGGTCTGCACCATTATCCTCACAATCAGATAATCAGAGCTCAACATCGTTCTGATGTCACCGGAACTCCTGTGCAAGAAGCAGACGACTTGCTCTCTGCATAGAGATAGAGATCTAATTATATGGATTAATCTTGCTCTATGCAAATATTCTTTCTTCAATCTCGAATTTAAGAGAAAAAAAAAAGAATCAGAAATGATGAACGTTGGTTGTCCGGGCATCTCTGCCTAATGTATACTCTTGCATAACAGCCGAAGTTTAATATTGAAAATTTTACTGCAATGAAAATATAAACATTCACAAAATTTTCCTTTTTTTTAAATACAGCAGGTATCCCACTGTGAAAGTGTGCTTCTCTTCCAAGCACGTAATTGCGATATTCATACTTTTTCAAGGGTCGATTGTGGAAAGTTAGCTCGTTGAGTGCGCTTCTTACCGAGCACCGATGCACTGCAGAGGAGCAACACCTGCAAAACTCACTTCCATGGGTGTCGCTTCTCTGCAGTGCACCTGTGCTTGGTAAGAAGCGCTCTCAACAGGGCTAACTTGCTGTGAACGACGCTGAAAAAAATATGAATATCGCAGTTCATCTTGGAGCAAATATTGAGTAGTGTATCATACGAAACTACTATTAGAAAATTTTAATATCTACACAACACTACTGCATTTATTTGTTACCAAACTTGGTTTTATTTTGATAGCTGCACTGATCATTCATGCAGTGTAGAGGATGTCCTACGTTGAGCAGCAATGATAATTATGGTACTCTGAAGACTCGGAAAATGTTACCAAACAAGAGATACACACAAGGCCAGTGCTACTTCGTTGGTCTGGGCTGAAAATAAGTCATAGAAACTTGTCCACGCCAAAACACATTTGTGTCATAAAAGTATTCCAGAAACTGAATGCCTCAATAACAAGAAATTCTGCAGAAAATGAATGCTAAATGCCTCAAAACAATGCAACAACACAAACAAAACATCAGGACAGGCAGATTCCAGCCAGAGCCAATGTTGAATAACCAATTGTTATGGGGCATTAAGATAGCCCATTACTGCTTCGCTCCCTGGGCAAATCAAAACTATCCAGAAACCACAGGCAAGATGCAACAACCTGGAAAGTTAACGATGCAGACAACCACAAAACCAACCAAACGACAGACAAGCAAAAGCCAACATAAAGGCTGAGTGGGAAGAGACAAGCAACCAAGGCACACAAAGAGACGGTACCAACAACGGGGACAAATAGAGGACCAGCACAGAAGTGGCCGTCTCACCGCAGAGGTTCGGCATCGGGCTTGTCCTCCCGGCTGACTGCCTTCTTGGGTTTGTTGGTTCGCGGGCAGCCGGACAGACTGCGGTGGGAGGAATAGTTTCCCGTCACGTGACCCGAGCCATCACAGCCCGGGGTTGGGCACCTGCGCCAGCATTGGCAGGCAGCCCCTGGGATCTATTGGCTTTGGCCACTACTGCTAAAGCCACTGGGCACCAAGATATCTATACAACATCCATACAATGTCTTGGCAAGATGTGCAAGGCGTCCGGACATCTTGGCCCTAGATGTTCTGAAATGGCTTCCAGCACTGTATCCAGACATCTTCAAGATGTCTAAAAGATGTCTTTTAGTCATCCAGAAAAACATCTTGTAGACATCTAACATAGCACCAGATGTCTATAGCTCATTCTATACCTGTCTCAAGACATCTATAAGATGTCCATAAGATGTCTTACTAATTTTATCACGAGACATTTTAACAAGATGTGAAAGGCATCCCGTAGACACCTTGGCCCTGGATGTTTTAAAATGGCTTCCAGCTAAATCTGAGCATTTTCTAGATGTCTAAAAGATGTCTTCTAGTCATAAAAAAAAAAAAGAAGGAACGTCTTGCAGACGTTTGACATAGCCCCTATTATCTGGTTCAACACGTCTACCTCAGTCTTGGCAAAGTGGGAAACGTGTCCTTGTAGATGTCCTGGACCTAGACATGTCTTAAAATGTCTTATAGCAATCTTCCAGCTTTACCCAGGCCTCTTCTGTACATAGCCCGAGACGCCTATAGCTCATTCTAATTGATTCGAGACATCTTGTGCTCAGTGTGTGGGGGGAGGGGGGGACACCAATTCCACAGGCCAACGTAGAGGTGGCACAAAATTACTTTCTTTAAACAATCTTGCGTGATGGGGTAGGGTTGCATTGAAATATAGCAGCATTTAATTAGCTGAAATCCTTACATTTGATAAGTAATTTGAAATATCAAAGGGAATATTGACTCATCTATCAATCAGTGTGTATGGCTTTGGAGGCTCAAAAGGGGCATTCTGTGACAGTGTGGGTGGCAATTAAACCAGTCCCAACCATGCCAGATCTCCCAGAGTTAATCCCCTCTGTTACCCTAAGTACAGTAGACATCAGGAATTGCAAACACTTCCCACAACACATGACACCTGTCAGATCGCAGAAACGTAACTTTCTTGTTCCAATTAGACATGGCCTGGGTGCCATAGCGAGCCTGGTGTAGTATTTTATTCTGAACAGTCATAAGCAGTTGAAACTCAGCCGGATGTACTCAAAACGCAAGTGTTTGAACCAGCCAGCCTTGAGCATGTGAACTCAAGCGTGCAGCTCCATTTGAGCTCATGCAGAGCTGAAGCTCAACTAAACCAACTTAAAAAAGGCACCTGATCCATCAGCTGGCATCTAAGTTGGGGCACATTTATGCCGAAATAGAAAACACCAAAGCAACAATGGAGCTCAATCGGCTTGAATGTGTATATAGTTACAAAATAGATAAATAAAAAAATAAAAGTACAAGCACATCACAAATGAAATAATAATAATGCTGATGTGAACTCGACTTGAAAAGTGATCTCTGGGATGACCGACTATGATGCGTAAAGGCTCTTACTTTAACTCCTGATGCTGACCGTGCATTTGTGACCTGTCTGGATGACTGCAGCCTGACAGACTGCACGACAGAAAGCACAGAAAGAGAAAAGTGGAAGAAACAGAAGTCACTGAGAGTGCCATGCTTTTTTTTTTTTTTAAGCATGATATGAAAGAAAACAAAGATTGGAAAGAGGAACAGAAACAGCAGATGTGAGCTCCTGTGCAAGCTACATTTCATCACAGAGTCCTTGTTTTCTTTGGTACAGTGTTGTAAAGATGCCGCCTATACACCACATAATCCCGCTTTCAAACCTTCTCTGCACTTTTGCGGTAGGACGTTCAACTTCAGTAATCGTTACGTTTCCCTATCACTCTTTGGCTAGTGTGGTAAAAAAAAAAGTTATTCGGTTATCACTATATATTTATTGGCCTTTATTTATAGTGGCAAAAACAATGGTGATCTCTTCCACATGAACTTGACTATAATTAGTGACAGGTACTCACTCAGTGACGTGACAAGACCGTCTTTTCATTTTGCTGAGAATACAGAAGCACTTTTTCTGGCTAGTGTTTTTAATTAGAAACATCAGCAGCTACCTGCTTGCTACCTGCTCCTCCTCATTAAAGGTTTATTAACATAAAGTTGCTCTGCTTGCATTTGCTAATGATTACAAACTACTATATGAAGCCTCTATGTAAAAACCGAGAAGTTTAGAAATGCTGAAAGGTTAAGAAGCATACCTAGGTACGTAAAATAATAAAACGTTTCATGTCAACACCCACTGAGGTCATCTGCAAAGAATGCCATAAGACTTCTAAGACTATCAGAATCAAACTACTTTTACACTGAATTCCAAAAACTTCCAGTGGCCATGACTTGTGAGATTTATCAAAATCTTCCCAAAATAACCGAAATCACAACTATGAAGCAGAAGGAAAGACTTCTAGTGACTACCACCTAGCGGCAAGATGTTTCCGAAGAGCGTTAGTTACAAAACAAACCAAAGATTCTTCCAGTCGGAAAGAAGCCTTCTGGGAAGCCTCAACTGGCTGACATTTTGCTGAAACACCAACTAAAGATCCCCCATAAATTACGAAGACTACACAAACGCTTCTTAGGGCCAGCAGGAGTGAAAAGTATCAAAACCTTCCCTGACGTTACCAACTTCATAAAGTGCCGAAACTTTGCAAAGCCATCGTAATTAGGACAAGCACTGAGACACATTCTGGTGATCCTTTGTTACGAGAGGTGGCAAGAGTTCTCCAAGGAGACCGCAGTTAATGGCATCTACTAAAAGCTCGCAGAGATCATAAAGGTAATAAAACAGTGTTTCAGTTGGTGCAGTTTACAAAACGTTGTGAGCTTCACAATACCACCAGCTACTGAAATTTTCAAGCTATCAAGCACAGCACACCTGCAAAGCCATTAAAATTAGGTAAAGCAATAAGACATATGTACTCGGCAGCCCTTTGCAATAAAAGGTTGCAAGGGTTCTCCAAGAAGAATGACAGTTATTGGCATCTACCAGAGGCTTGCAGAGACCATATGGGTTATGAAAAGCTCCCCAAACACTGCAGGCATTTTAGACTTCCCAAACTACGAAGGGTCGTGAACCATTCATTCCCGAAAGCTTCAAGAAGTAGTCGAACACAACGCTCTTACAAAGCCATCCAAATTAGGACAAGCAACAGGACATATTCTGGTGACCCTTTACAACGAGAGGTGGCAAGAGTTCTTCGAGGCTACCACAGTTAATGGCGCATACCAGAGGCTTGCGGAAAGCATAAGAGTTATGAAACAGTCTGAAAAAAAAAAGATATAGGCTTTCTAGTCGCCACAGATTACAAAGTTGTGAGTTTTGAGATGCCACCCTGCAGTTATTAAAAACCTTCCCGGAGCCATCAAGCACAAACGATGAGGCTACGGAAACCATATGGGGAGCGGCAGACAGGCATGCAAGCAGGCAGACAAAATACTGAAAGCTCTGTCAAGTGCGTTACTTTCACAAACCCGTCAAAATTAAGACAAGCACCAAGACAAATTCCAGTGATCCTTCGCAACGAGAAGTGAAAGAGCCATCCGAAAATACCACACATACCGGAAGCAATTGCAGAGACCATAAAAATGACGAAACACTTGGAAAACACCGTAGCCTTTCCAATCGGTACAGATTACGAAGTCGGAAGTTTCAAGATGCCCCCATGCAGTTACCGAAAGCTTCACGGAGTCATCAAGCACGAACGACGAGGCTATGGGGACCAGACGAGGAGCGGCAGACAGGCATGCAAGTAGGCAGACGAAGTACTGAAAGCTTTGTCAAGCGCATTGCTTTCGCAAAGCTGTCAAAATTAAGACAAGCATCAAGACATATTCCAGTGATCCTTTGCGACGAGAAGTGGAAGAGCCATCCAAGGATGTCGCAGTTAATGGCAGATACCGGAAGCAACTGCAGAGACCGCAAGGATGACATAACACTCGGAAAACACCGTAGCCTTTCTAGTTGGCACAGGTTACAAAGTTGCGAGCTTCGAAACGCCCCCATGCAGTTACCGAAAACTTCACGGAGTCGTCAGGCACGAACAACGAGTCTACGGAACCAGACGGGGATGGCGGACAGGCAGACAGACGAAATGGCGCGGGGGAGGGGGGCGACTCTGACCTCTCTTTGTCCGATGCGGAGTAGTCGGAGGGGGGCATTCCGACGAGGGGCTGGAGGTGTTCCGGGGGGGGACTGTGGAGCGAAGGGTAGGCCCCCGGAGGGGTCGCCAGGGGCGAGAACGCCTCCGGCCCGCCCCTGGAGAAGTCCACGGGTTCCGTCTGCTCCTCGGACGGCCCAAACAGGCCCTTGGGCGCACCACCCACCACTGGAGACAAGCTGCTGCGGGCCCCACAAAACACACGCCGGGAGAAGACGCGCTTGTTTTGCGTCGTGCGTGTGGCGAGAATGTAGCGTTGGCCGGCCACCACGGTTTAGTGAGTGTTGAAAACCCTATTTCTAGGCGATAATGCATTGCTCAGTTACGTTTCAGTGTGAGGACCACCCCATTTCAAAGTGACACGGTACGTTGAGGAAGAGCCTATAACTGGAGCACAATGTGCATGTCGTTTATGTATGTCAAGATAAGACCCAAATGAACATGGGGAGATTTTTAAGGGATTGATTCCTTCGAGAGTCATGAATTGACTGATCACATAACAATGAGTTGATTGCATCGTGTGCACAAAGATAATGTTGCATTGGCCGCCCAACAAAGTTACTCCATATTTCAGTGAAAAAAAAACAACAAAAACAACCATCCACCCCCATTATGCGGCGTTCATGCATCGTTCGGGCTGCTTTGAAGGTCAAGAGCATCGCATTTTGAAGCGACGTTTGACATATTGTTGAGCGAGCGTCCAATACAAGAACAATGTGCATGTTGGTAAGAAAGTGTGGGTTTGACTTTTAAGAGATCGGATTTTCCGAGAGTCATCCAGTGACTGATTGTGACAATGAGGGCTGATTGCATTGTGAGCACAAAGGGAATGCCAGAATGTTTGGCTGCCAGAGTTTCTTCGTTTTTGTAGTCTGCCAAAACTCGAGGCTAATTCATAAAGGCCTGTAGACGCTATCTTTATACATCAATACATTGTTGAGGCTATCTCACAGGTGATCGATGAATGCCATGTTTCAATGTTGAACGAGAGTATAACTAAAGAACATTGTGCATGTTGTTTACCCTGTGACTCTATAGAAAGCCAAATGGACAGCACATCTGGATTTTTAAGCAATTGACTGCACCAAGAGCCATGAACTGGCCGATTGTAACAACAGTTGAATGAGTGGCCAATCTACCAACACTAAGATGCAGCAGACAGATTGATCAACCCTACTTACTTGTTCTATTTATGAAGAGTTGCAAAGGAAAGGCATCACTGCAGTCACCCAGGAAGGACTTTCGATCTCATATTTTTACACAGTCTACATAGCAACTGTCAGTTAGAATATGCTAAGCTGTGTTTAGAGATTGATTTACCAAAACAAACAAAAGAGACATTGAAGCTATAACTGAAGACACACAACCTAAAACAAGCCTGAAGCCCTCCACAACTAAAACTAATGAAGTAACGCGACAACAATCCTGAATGCTTTCTTTCGGCTAAGTACACTATCATAAGGTAGAAAAAAAAAGGCACTGAAAAAGTAGACAAAATTCAAAGACAACAAAAAGAAAGAAAAAGGCGAGTTATCGCATAAATGAGATACTGATCGACTAAACACACTGACTCATTGAGCAGTCTGCCAACTGACTAGAGAGTCACTTCAATGAACAGTTAGGGCGCGATATCAAAGGTTAATTAATCAGTGGGGATGTTGATAATCAACCAGCCCAGGTGGAAATCAGACCAGCTAGAACTGGATTATAGAACTGGTTCCTGCTGGGTACAGTAGCTGGATCAAACTAGGAACAGTTCCATATTTCAGCTGCAGCTGAACTGACAAGAAGCTTTTGCTCTCAACTAAATTACTACATATATAAAGGATCCGACGTGTGGGCCCCTACCTGTGCCTAGGAACAAGAGGCAGGTCAAGGGCCGGGTGGATGTGGTGGACCCCCGGAGGGGGCGGGGACAGGTCCCCGAGTGCTTCTTGCCTCTTGGACAGGTTCACTGCTCCATGGGGGATCAGAGGCACCCCGCCACCAGACTCCTGCGAGCGGGAACGAAAGAGAAGGCACGAGACACTTAGCCATACGAGAATTGCAGCAATGCGTTGGGACGGCGTTTACCAGTCAAGCGTGCTGTGCTCACTAACGAAGTCACAAAGTTTCTGGATCCTCTGGGGGATCGGTAGGTGAGCGTGTTAAAGCAGAGCAGCTCGGAGCACGTGGAGCGAAAGCCTGCTCTGCACAGCCCAGGGATCCTGGGTTCAATCTCCACCCCTGCCTTTTTTGATTTGGACGAGCATCGTTGCGGCGGGTAGTCGTGTATCGATCGCATCAATTTGACACACGTCGAAGACCCCACCCTAGCAAAGGTACTGCACTGGCTAAAGTTCTCACCCGCAGCAAAGACACCAGACACCCACCGGGGTAGACTAACTTTCCGCTGTGTGAACGTAAACACAACACAATTCTGGACGCTCCCATAACCTCTAACTTTCATTAGACAACAACCCAAAAGATCAAAGTTAAATGTAGCGTGCATTTTATCAGCCGAATTTTATAAGAGAAACTGTCGTGAGAAACTGTCACGAAGGAGCATGACATCACATGACATGACACCGTGACGTAATGACATCACAGTTGTGACCTCACGAGGTCGCACGATATCACGCACATGTACGTAGCACATACCCCGCTCATTCGCAACACGTTCTGCGCTCCCCAGTCTTTGTCAGCACGATCGAGCTAGGGTAATTTAATGCACCTGCATTCTGCGCAAGCCAGGCGAAAGAAGAACTCACGAGGGGAGGGGAGGGGGATATGCGCTGCTTGATGACCGCTGGACCGCCACCCGACTCCTTGGGCTTGGGAGCGATGGGCCGACTGGCGTTGCTGCCGCCGCTGCTGTTATGGGTCGAACCCTGCTGCTGCTGCTGCTGCTGTTGTTGCTGCTGCTGCTGCTGTTGCTGGAAGAAGTGGTGGGCGTACTCCGGTGGCGGGGGCTTGCTGTACTTTTCCAGCTCCTTGGCCAGGTTGGTCCGGGGTGTTGTGGTCGGCACGTAACCCGGGTACTTGTACTCGTGCAGGTCGAGCTGCTTCACGTAGCACATGGGTCGCAGCACACGGTCCGACGGGGCTGGGGCGCCGAGGAACACGCAAGTTTGAAGTGCCGGTTCATGAACGTCACGCCCGAGCCCCGCTAGAGTGATAAACAGAAGCAACCGACGCCGACAAGGTTCCTACACGTAGGGCATGCACGCGGGGACATACCTGACAGGTTCGCTATCGCTTGTGTTTACTTTGCAAGCGCCGAGAGACTGCGAGCTCGTCGGAAATACCTTCGCGTGCACGCTGCACATTTTCGAGGCTTGTCAGTGTCGGGTGTTGCCCTTCCGGGCCGAGGTGTAAGGGCCGGTTTGCGCATTTGGGTTCGGGTGTGCTCAAGTGCGTTGCATTCGAGCACATTCAAACTTCATTCACACATTTGAAAGGAGTTGTTCAGTCAAAGGGCAACCGTTACGTAGCAATGCTATTAGCTTCAGCTAGTAAGTATGTTGATAAGTTTATGCTTTTATCAGGTCTGCCAAGAATAAAAAAGCATTATGCTCCAAAGTAGGTATCTTTGATGGAACTTCCCTGCAATGCACAACATTTATGCATCGAGTAAGGCACGTGAAACATCTTCGTGCGATGCTTCGAAGGCATTTTTGAAGTGGAATAGCTCCCCGCCAAACACCAGAGTTATGCGGTAATGCATGCCCATGCAGAAAAGTTTTCCACAATACACCAGAGTTATGCGGTGAAGTATGCACAGCCTAGGTGGCAAAAGGACGTCATCAAATAAATTTCCAACGAAAGAGCATTTTTTAGAGCTATATCTATGGCGTGAAACAAACTTGTAGTTGACACCTTTCCGCAGGCTACCGCAGGTACCAGCTACAAATTTGTTTCACGCCGTAAACATAGCTCAATGCTTTCGTTGTTGTAAATTCATTTCAACGTCTTTTTTTCATACAATGCTGTTTAAAAAATTGTTTTTTTCCTTTGCATACGCTTTTTAATAGCACAAAGCCAGGCGGCATTGCTTTGATGCAAGAATGTTAGCCACGTTGCTAAACTCGTTTGAAGAAACAGTACTAGGTAGCCATGCAGGGAAGTCCGACCTACCGGGGCTGGTGGTGGTCGGTGGGTGTTTGGTGACATTCTTTTGCTCCTTCTGGGCCAGCTTCTCCATGGCCGCAATGGGGCACCCGGACAGGCTGCAACGACAAGTCGCATTAAAGAAAACAACGTTGCCAAAAAACAAAAATATCAATATTGCAATTTCATTTTTAGTTTCCATCTTGAGACTGCAAATAAAGGAGTACTCTAGCTTAAGAGGCACTAAGCTCCCTAAGTACTGTAACCTTTTTTTTTTTTTTTTTACGTAGCCTGAATAGGACAAATGTCATAAAATAAAACATCCATAAAAAAAAAATGTTTAGTGTAGTATTTACGTTTTCATACACATTTTAAATTAGGAGCGACCCTGAGAGGTGGTTTTATTATGCGGTCGATGTATCAAAATAGAACCATGTTTTGGAGTTGCTCTTAACCCAAAACGAGTCTCGCAACACAAATGATGCGCTAAAACTTTTTTTTTTCCCCAAGAAACTTTATTTCGTGACATACGTGCCCTATCGAGGCACTTGTAAAAATGGATGCTTTTGTGGGTGTTCGGCATCTCTCCAAGAGGAGCCTTCCCCATTCAAAACGGCGGCTCGTGACATCACGGGTCAAAACCGATTCTGATCTCGAAATAGTCGGGCTCGCTGTAGTCGCCGACAGAGTGAGAACAACAGGGCATGTCTTCCGAATGCCCGGCCTCCGGGAGGAGAACTGCAACTTCTTGCAGTTCTCAGCCTCGTCGTCGACTACGGCGAGACTTCGTTCACCAGAATGCGTCTCTGACTAGTCTGTTTAGGTCCCTGTATGCCCATGCTACATGCTCACCTTCTGTGTGAGTTTCTGTTGCTATTCACATGTCCTCTTCCATTACAGCCAGGAGTGGGGCACCTGAAGGGGGTACGAGCATTCAGCACCAGTGCCGCCAAAACAAAGTCGCTGTTGCCCAACACCTCATCCTACTACTGCCTCTCAGACTATACGACCCCACTGAATCCTACATCCGGTAAATAGATCCTCATTTCAGTTAAAAAAAGACAAATCCTCGACATTACTGTGCGGTAAAGAGAACGCGAGCCAAGGTTATGTTTTAGCAGCAAATTATTGTAGCCGAACAAAGTCGGTTGAATGTAAATTCAGCGAAAAATTTGATCTTGGCTGGCATACTTTTGATCATGAAATATAACCATTATGACTACAACCACTTAGCCTTTTTGTGATCCTTTCTAAATAAGTTTCTCTGAATTTGCGTACAAATTAGTAATTTCATTAAAATTAATTTATTAGTCGAGACAAAACAAGAAAATATATAATTTTTCTTATACTTATAGCTATTTATTTATTGGGAAAAGTTACATATGTATCCAACAAAGCCTAAGAGACATTAGATTATAAGTCACATTTTATAAAAAATATTTTAAAAATCACTTTTTTTCAGAAACTTCTTCATACTTTAAACGCAAAGAATCAAGCATGCAGGCATATTGTGAACTGATGAAGTTAAAACTTTAGTACTAACCTAGGAACAGACTATCCCAAAATGCTTCTCAAAGCACCTACTACAACAAATTCATAGACTTTACTAGTGCAGCAAAACAAAACGCTGCTAGAGAATATATAAAAATAAAATCCAGTATATATTTTCATAACTTTCCTCAAAACCATTAGTTTACTGTACATAAAAGAAAAGCAACTAATGTTTCTGCTTCTAGTCTAGGAAAAGATTTTCCAAATGAAAGAAGTAAAGAATTCTGTTTTTCAAGAACTGCCGATGACAAATTTAATGCAGTACCAGACTGCCATAAAAAAAGCATAAAACGCTTTATTGCTAAAATGCTACATGGAACATGAAAAAATTTTAATGTGGGTATTCCATGTATAACAGGTTAGATTTTAATACCAAGATCAAAAACAAAATGAGCAAGGTACCTTGGGCAGATTTTTAATAATAAGAAAGGCACTCTCACAACGCTATGATAATCATAAAACCGCCATGCACATTCTCACTCTAATCGAGCTTTTTGAGCTGATACTACAGTGGGATCCGATGTTACAATTTGTTGCGCATTCCAACTGTTAGCTAACGAATTACAACAAAAAATATTAGGTGCTTATAAGCTCTTGCATACTTAAAAAAATGCTACACAAATTCAAGTAAACAAATGTTTCCCACCAAATCCATGCATCAGAAAAATGATCACTCTCTAGAACTACAACAGCTCAATAGGAGATAAGCTTGTTACTATGATACTACAGCCATTCAAATAAGTGCAGGGTAACACTCATATCTAAACAATGAAATCAAAGACACAAAAAGAACTACACCCTTGTGATTCACACACAACACGCAATGCAAAAAACAACCAAGTGTGAACACGAAAAAAACCAATGCAAACCACAAACCCACACAAGAGTAGAAGGCAGCGGGAATTGGCATGCTTTAAGTGCGTTGCCAAAACAAACAAAAAAAAGAAGAAAATGTTGCAGAACCAAAACCCAGGAAATAAATAATAAAAAGCATTCTTCACGAACAGCACGCTTCATGAGATTCGCTTACTTGAGTATTGTTTCATGTTGTGCCAAAACTGTAATAGCAGCAAGTCGAACAGTTAGGCCATCAGTTGATGAAGTCATGTTGAGTAAACTGTAGCCATTCCCTTTTCTATATACTTGAGTTTAACATTGCTGCATAAGATAAACTTAGATGTCATCCATAAAGTTTGAATTAGTGGGTTGTACGTCAAAATAAAGTAATGCAAGGGTGAGTCTGTCAGCCAGATGTGAATGAAACGGCCACGCTAAAACTCTTAGCCAAAATATTCCAAGAAATCACCCATTCCGTAAGATGGGTGATTACTGAAACATGGCCCACCCTTAGAGATTGCATTTCCTTGGTTAATATGATATGCACAATCAGGTAGGCAACAGGAGTTTGGGTCACAATAGTGACTTTTCCTTTGGAAGTTAGTGTAGATGGCAATTGAGTAAACAAAGTTTCTATCTCTGTCTTTCAACTTGATATGATACATGTGAAATGATTGTTCCTTCATGTAGGCATCAGAGGAGAAGAAATCATGGTCAAGCATTGTTTCTCAGCTTTCGGAGTCAATCACTAAAAGTTGGCACACCCTCCTTTCCCACTTTTTTTAATATCCAGGCTAGCTAGACTATTCTTGTGGATAGTTCATTATTCAAATATTTTGTATTTATGCTAGTTTACCCAAAGTTTAAATTCGCATCTGTCATATGCTAGATTATAGTATCTCATATAACCAAAGTACTAATAATAAGATAGATCGTGAGAAGCTCATATTAATACTGATACATGAATCTGAATCACTGGTATAATGAAAATGTAAATTTAGTAAATATAAAACTTTTCGGGAACTCCATCGGTAATTGGCTTACAAAACTCGATCTCGTCTAGACAGAACTATTTTGTCAGTTGAATGAGAGAGCAATAATTACAACAATATTGATGATGGCATCTACACTATTAAAGATTCATAAATACAATTCATGTATCCATAGTACTACTGGGCTGGAGCTTTCACATCTTTTAGGAACTACCCCATTAAGGCAAATCTGCACAGACAGACCCCAAGCGGTAGCTTTCCTGCAATGCAGCAAAGAATGAAATCAGACGCTTTCTGGAAACTTTGCATTTCAAAATTGAAACCCTGGTTAGACATGAACAATAAAACGTGGCTACTAGATATGTTTTTTACAGGTATAAATATATTCATTAAAGTACTCCTGCAATAGATTTACATTTATCGCGAGACGTTAATGCCAGAGTGTACGCTTACTTTCGGGCGTTATCTTGTCTTTCCTTGGGCATCCAGACAGGCTGCAGAAAAGAAGATAGGAAAATTTGACGTTCGTCATCAGTTGGAAATCTTTTTAACTGGGGTCTAGTATTAGGGATGGCAATTAAATTTTAAGGATAGTTTAAAAGAAATGAAAGACGTTTACAAATCTCTGTAATGCGAAACTAGACTGCAGCCCTTGAGGGGGAGGAGGGAAGGTATGGAAGGGAGTGTATGCCCCTCCTCCTCCTCTGTACCCTCCCATCCTCTCCTCCTCCTTTTCCTTTCCTTCTCCTCTTCCCGCTATATCAGTTTATGGGTGACGTGACACGAAGTCATGCGACGTCATTTTCCCCGCTAAATTTAGCGGGGACACTGAATTGGTGTTGAGGTCATGTGACGTCTATTTCGCAATTAAATTGAGCAGGGGTATTGGCGTCGCATAACCTCAACACCAATTAAGTTTCCCCGCTAAATTTAGCGGCGAAAATGACGTCACATGACTTCGTGTCGCGTCACCCATGAACAAATTCAGTTTCTCTGCTAGATTTAGGAGGATAATTGACGTCACATGACCTCAACACCAATTCTATTTCCCTTCAAATTTAGCGGTGCGGTTAGGCCGGCAGCGATGCCAACACTGATGGCGACGGCGATACCACGAAACGCAAAAACGGGCGCCTAAGAGCTGCGCTCTAAAAGAAAACACCTCTGGTGGCAGTTCCCTTAGAAGTGAAAGCAGTCTAATACAGGTTTACCCTAAAAAAAGGCAAGCAAGTATACAACCATAGCCACTCCTGGTCAAAAAGTAATATCACTCAATTACTTAACTCCAAAAGTAATAAACGTTTGACTACACAAAAAATCTCAATTTCCCGATTACTTTAACTAGATCCCATATTTAAAGCCATCAATTTCCATATTTTATTCTATTTATTTCTATAAATGTAACACAAATCCTACTTTATATTATTGCAAATCCTACTTTGTGTGCAAGTCCTACTTTCTTTAAATTTAATGCAATAAATATAATGCACCGTCCTACTTTCGTTTTCTTTTTTTTTTCTATGTGAGACTTACTTTTTCTCAAATTTTGTATGATAAAAGGGAAAAATTTCAAACTACATCAATGTTTGATGTAATAAATTTGTAAGCTTGTTCATCAAGATGCAATACAAATGTTCATGAAGTACACTAAGAAATAAGTAATATAAGTGTTCCAGAAATTACTCACAAGTCAATGTACAGTAAAACCTCGTTATAAAGAAGTTGAAGGAGCGGTCGTAATTACTTTGTTATAACCATTAGTTTGTTATAGCCAATGTCCATTTCTTCCAACTATTCAAGCAAGGGGAATTATGATTGCTTTGTTATATCCATTTGTTTGTTATATCCCATTTTGTTATAACGAGGTTTTACTGTATTACTTAAAATTGAATGAATTATGATGCACAGATTATAGTTAGTATTGCTGTAGCTTTGCAATTATGAATCTAATCCTACCAAAGCTTGGAGCCTAGTGAATAGTAAACAAATAAAATGACAGCATGCTGTTAGCAATAACTGTTTAAAGTGATGTTTAGGAAACAGACATAACAAATTATGCAAAACACTTACCTTCTATGGTGCGAGTATAAACCTGTCACGTGACCCGTGCCATTGCATCCTGGAGTTGGGCATTTGCTGTCTGTATAGATTAAAAACAAAAACAAATTCAACTAAACATCTAGACTCAGAGCAGTTACTGCAGGTCACAACTATGACTGGTTCATCTATTTTGGTGTTTGTTCCATCCAGATGTACCATGCTGTACCAAAAACGTGACAAGAAATGTTTGCGGTAGTACTTTGACCATACCTAACAAAATCATCATAGCCAGAATATGCTTTGCGGTCAGTAAACCTTGGTGCAATCTTTTATACGTACCAAGACTCATACTTTAACTTCCGACGAGAACGCTGTTGGTTGTCGTCGCTATAGTCACATGACCGCTTATGCCAGCCAATGAAAGACAGGCACCACTTATGAAGAATGCGAGGCATTCTTCATAGCCGAACCGGCTCGCACACGACTCAATCAGTTAAACTATGAAGAACTACTGATACAAAAGAAAGCATGAAACTAGAATTAGTTTTAAGTTGTACAATAGGTGCTGCTTTTTATACCTTTCTGAAAGTGCTAAAATCACCTTTCCTATCCTCATCAAATGCACTTTGTGAGATAAACATTGATTCACTGAGTAGCAATATGAAAAGAGACAGCTTCAGAGGTGAGCCTTTACTAAACATCAAGTATATTTTCATAATTGGTTAGTGTCACTAGAAACATTCTATTCAACAATCTCAACACTCCAGCATATTGCACTGTGGATGGACAATGAATGTAATATCCCAAGTCATCGCCCGCGATCACAAACGGTTCCGACGCAGTCGATCGCACTCAAGCGCCAATGTGTGAACCAGCCTCAAGCGAATACGACATTAGGGAGTTTTAGAATAGCAGACGCTAAAGCTTCTCATATGCAAAGAGTAGCGTCGTCGCCACTGCGCATGCGCCGAATGCTAACCACGTTTTGCGCTTTGCATGCGCTATTTTTTGGAAATTGCGCGCGCACGCAAAGAGTCTTTGCGCTCCTCCCAGGAGGATTCGTGATGAGAAGTTGGCTAAACCCAAGACGAGCACAGTTAAAAAATGGCGGCTCCCAGGACCATGCCTGCGGGTCTGCGGCCGCTTTGGCGGAGTCATGAGTGCGACGTTGGCGGTATCCGCGCAACTGTGATTTTCAATACGGGACGACATCGCACTCGGTCTGGCAACAATCACCGGCAGCTTGATGCTTGTGAGGCGCGAACATTTCTCGGAGAACGCAGGCGAAGGTCATTACACAAGACCTCTCTTGCCGAGGCAACGTAAGTGGACACAACCGGTCGACTGCTCGCGTCGCATTCTCATGTTTAAACAAATCTAAAATGTTACTCTGAACCAAAAAGCGTTTTTTTTTTTTTCAAGTTACAGTATTTAGTGTGTGAAATAAAAATTGTGACTGTATCTTGGTGGCATTCAAAGCGTGAGATGCTTGGGATTTTGCGTCGCGGCGAAGAAACACTATTCTAAAACTCTCGTGCAGCGTGCGCTAACGCAAGTGCTAAATTTAGCTCTAGCGTGCGCTAAAATTGCGTACGTTATTCTGAAACTCTCTATTATTACAGTCAAATCTCATTTATTCAAACTCGAGGGGGGCCAAAAATTTGTTTGAATAAAGCAAAGTTTGAATTATCAGGAGTTTCCTCCGATAGAGACGCACAGGCTGGGACCTGCATGTTAGTTTGAATTATCCACAAGTTTGAATTAGGAGAGTTTGAATTTATGAGAGTTGACTGTATTTGCACGGTACAGGCGTGGGTGCCAGGTGACCCATATTCGTCGTGATTTCGAATGGATCCAAGACTAGCCAGACAGGCCATGGACCCAGATGCCCTCAATGATTCATGGGTGAATAAAAATGATCAATGCAGAGCTGGTGACCTTTGAGGCTCCCGTCGGGCGTCCTCTGGGGGGAGTCGAGCAGGGGCGGCCGCGAGTTGGAGTCGTCGTCGTCCGACTCCTCCAGCCGCAGCCGGCTCTCATCGATCACCAGTGGCCGGTCGTCGTCGGGAAGCGGCACCAGGTGTGCACCCACCCGCTCCTCCTCGCCCGCCCCGTAGCCCAGCGAGGGCTTTAGCGGCTCCTGCGAGTGGAACATGCGCCCTCACTTCAGAGCACGTGCGGAGTTCTTCTCGGCAGAAGCCTCAAATTTGCCCGAGTTTGCAAAAGCCCGACAACCGGGTTTTAAACGTCTGACTAGCAGGCTTTGGGAGAACCCCGTGACGGTGTCCTACCATGTTGCCGGATGTTTCGAGAAAAGCGAAAGGGTAAAGAGTGCGAGGCTGTGCGTTTTCCGTGAGCAGAAAAAAGAGTAGAAAGAACAGGAAAGTGCACTTCCCCTGTTTGGTGACCCAGACAATTCAGTGCAAAGCTTTGTATCCGGGTGGTGCTGAAGGGAAGCACGCGCAGCGTCACGAGGGGTGCCCTAGCGTTCGGGTGCTGCCCGGGGCACCACCCAAATTAAAAGCACCGCCCACCCTATGAATCTACCGCATCTAAACGCGTGTGGCAGAATGACCAAACATGAAGCCAATCTTTTACTACGGTTTTCGAGGTGTGAATGTGAGTATAGTGCCACGGATCACATGCCGCGTAGGGACAGAGGTTCTGCGCCACTTACCTTGAGCTTGTTCTCGAGAACAGCGTAACGCGCTGGCTCGGGAGCCACTTCAGCCATGGCCGTGCCAAAGGGGCTCGAGTAAGCGCCGCCAGCCGAGAACTCCCGGTGGTGGTGATGTTGCTGCTGCTGCTGCGGCTGCTGCTGCTGCATGGCGCAGTCCGAGAAGCAAAGGGGCTCCAGCTTGGGCTCATGCTTCACCTGGATGCCCCCCCGGCCAAACACGAGTCCCGGCCCCGATGAAACCCCTCGGGGGGGACTCGGGGGGCCCCGGGGGGCGAGGCCCCCACCGACGACGCCCGGGTTGCTGCCGGCGTGGCGGCAGTCCTTGCGACTCGGGTCTTCCACCTGATACGAAAGGAACGCGGCGGGTCAGAGATTGAATGGAAGCCAAACTGATTGTTGAATGCTCCGTTTTATTGCTGGTAGCACGCTTTCACCATGGCCAACAAAGTATCTGATTAAAACAGTTTGCACAATTGCTTGTGTATTCACCAAAAATGCTACCCATACGAGGATTCCAACGATGCCACAATGCTTTGTTCAGAGGAAACTTTCTAAAGTGAAAACTGACATAGTGAACATGTATATAGAGAAGAAAAGATAAAGTATTCTTTTAAAGGCATTAAGCATTCATATAGTCATAAAGATGCCAGTTCATAGTAAAGGTTTTTCCTACAAAAAAATGCTGATTCAACTATGGAGGGAATCCTCAGTTTTGAGCGTGCCGCATCCCGTCGTTGGGACAGTTTGCTCCCCGATGGCTCGATCAATTAATTATGAACCAGCACAAACTTATCTCCAGACATCGTTATTGTGAGTGTCCTTGAATATGTTTTGAGGATGCTTAATGAAATCTCGTCAGAGTATTACAGGCCCAATCACATAATTGTCTTTGAGCATGTCTGAGTGCATCTGACTGCGCTGCTGCATAAAATAACCGGGATGTTCCTACTTTGTACACTGCATGCCAAGCTTCTCCTTGAATTGGCTACCACGATTCGTATGAAGCACGAATGTCCCAGCGGCTCGCAGCCGTTTCTCGACGCAATACAGTCAAATGCAGCCACAACGCAGCCAAACGTAACTGTGTGTAGGTGGAGCGCAAGTTCGTCTGCTTCTTACGCAGGGGTTGCAATGATGTCAGAACGACGAGCTCTGATTGGCTCTGGTTGGAAGGATAGTGAGCAGACCTCAAAGCTAGCTGCCTTGAGATCTACCCACTATCCTTCCAATCAGAGCCAATCAGAGCTCGGCGTTCTGACGTCACCGCAACCCCTGCTGAAGAAGCAGACGACTTGCGCTCTGCATAGGCTTCAACCGCAGACTAGAGATGGACATCGCGATGAAACACTGCCTCACCTTGAAGTGTGGATGGTCCGCGATGGGTCGCATCGAGCCGCACTCCTCCCCGATCTTCAGCAGGCTCTCGACGTCGTAAGCGTCCACTCGGCCTCGCGTCGCCACCGCACTGCCGAACTCCGCGGCCGCTGAGTACGCCATCGAAGCCGCCGTGGAAGCCGCCGGAAACGTGGAGGAGGTCACCGGGCTCGAGCAGGATGACTGGGACGAGCCAACCGTAGCCGCGGTGCTAGCCACATCCGGTGTGGCGGGGCACTGGGTTGACGACGAGGACGAAGAGGACGAGGGAGACGACGAGTGCACTGGTGTGGATGCCGCCGGAAACGCGGCCTGGGAAGGGGAGGCACCTCCAGTTAGCGGAAGTCCCATGGGGCTTCGTAAATAGAACACCTCGTGATAAAAACGATAGTGCAGTTAAAAAAGAGTTCTTTTTTTGCTAGTCAAAATGCTTATTCAGTGTCTCCAACCGAATGGTCATGCCGACTTACCTATATGCTGATAGAGCCATGCACTGATAGATTCATGAGCCTACCATAATATACCGAGACGCCCCACCCTTGAAAGATAACCCGTCCCCTATTCTTGGCATGATTTGCTATTTTTCCAAAAGCCCCAAAAGATAGCCCCCTTCTAGTAATTGCAAAGCCTTGAGTAATGATGACCTTGACAGAAATAGCGTTACTTAACCATGGCAGGAGACAAGCAAGCATTGCTGACCAGCAATGCTTGCTTCGCACGTTGAACGGCGCTGTGACGTCGGTGCGTTAGAAACGGAGATTGAAACGGTTTCTTTTCGATCGATTCTGTTTTCTTTTTTTGGCGTGGATGTTGTTCATCGCCCCTCCCTGCGATCACAAGTTTCGCAAATCACAAAATCTAAAACTAGCATTTTTTTTCCAACCTTTTTATTGCACATTAAAAGTTATCCTACTCCTTATTTTCACACGATTTGCTTTCAATTCTAGGTGGGCTATCTCTTGGGATATTATGGTATATGCCAATATAATATATCTATACACCAATAGACTAACGGTTCGATACACTGGTGGACTGGTCAATGTCAATGAAGCAATAGAACAGGGGTGGCCAGGCTGACCCGGCCTAAGAGCCGCAAACAAAACCATGAAACTTCCAAGAGCCGCGGGGGGGACGCAAACTTTTTTCTAGAGCAATAAACGAGACTCAAACTACTTTTAATCTATCTAAGTCAAAAGCAGTCCAACTGTAGGTAAGGTAGCCGCAGCACAAGACTACCAAACCGCAATCTGTCTTTCGATTTAAAACGCATTCCATTTCTCCTCTTGGAGAAGTGCTCATGTGACTGGGAGGGAGGCGGGAAAGTGGGTTGGGAGGGGGGGTAGGACAGAGAGCCACGAGATGCACTTTAACACGCGAAGAGCCGCAGCTTGGCCGCCCATGCAATAGAATATTGGCTCTATCTTCTGAAATTTACTACAGGAGTGTCACAATAATTTTACTGACAATTTAAAATAAAATGAGAAGGGCCTCCATTTCTTTCACACACTTACTTTCTTGCCCCGCTTCTAAAGCATACAAAATATATCAATGGCAAGTAAAAAACAAACTGTTTGATTTCTTGCACCCTATCTTTTAGTATTAATAACTAGCACAAAAGGCATATTTCTGTGCATTGCCTAAATACTACATGCCTAAGGAAACAGGCAACAAGTATCTGAGATATGAACTGAAGCCCTGCAAGCACACAAACTTAAACATCAAAACACCTATAAGAAAGCTGCCAAAAAACGTTCAGCCTTTCCACTTTCGTGAAGAAGGAAGACCAGCGGAGCTGTACTCGATACACTGTGTGCTTCTTCTTCGTCGTTGTCTGTTTTTTACGTTGCTTCCTACAATGAATTCCCACCAACGCGCCCAATCATCCATTCTTCTATTATAGCTGGAAAGGTTGGCGTCATCTACGAGTGACGGCGGAAACCATACTGGTTCTGTGCTTGCCACCGTCGCTTATAGATGGCGGTAGCTGTCCAGGTAGGTTTGTGTTGACATACCGGACACGATACTGGGGAATCTAGCCCTTAAAGGGATACTGAACCAAAGAATTTACTGCCCGTAACAAGTGGCGGACGTTCTTTCCACAAGCCAGCAGCCGCCGGTGTGCGCGAGCACATGCAATGAAAATGGCATCACAGACCTCCATTCGCGGTTGAGATGACAGTGAAATGTATGGGCTTTGGACTAAAGGAGAATAAAGACAGGCTTTTCATCTCTACAAGTGAAAGCTACGTGCTTGTCAGACCAATTCATCGCTTACCTTTTACACCAGGCACCACTGTGTAGATGAAAAACTTGTCTTTATTCTCCTTTGGTCCGAAGCCCATACATTTCACTGTCATCTCAACCGCGAATGGAGGTCTGTGACGTCATTTTTGTTGCGTGTGCTCGCGCACACCGGCGGCTGCTGGCTTGTGGAAAGAAAGTGCGCCAGTTATTATGGACACTAAATTCCTTGGTTCAGCTCCGCTGTAAAAAACAAAAAAAACTGACCCGACTGCTCTCTGCTGCAGGCTCTCGAGTGTCCAGTTCAATGTTGCCGCTGTCCTCGTCAGCACGGTTGTCTTTCCCAGTGTCCTGGTGACTCGGGTTAGCACTCTGTGCCAAACCATCTCCAGTGCTGTCACCCCGACTTGTTTCCGTGTCCATCGATTCATCTTGCTCTCTGCTTGCCCTGTAACATAGTACAAGATGCAGCTGAAGAGTTAGTGTCTTCAACTATATGCCACAGAAGTGGGAAAAAAAAAAGAAAGGTTATGATAATATCATTCAGAACCTACTTCAGCTCAACTTTTCCAAAACACGTAATATGCAGTCCGGTCCACTTGACTGGGCTCTTTACTAGAATTTAACCATAACTACAAAACACTGTGAAGACGCCAATTGCTAAACCCTGCTATAGTTGGTTACAAGTCAAGAAGGTAGGAGAAGCTCCTCCCACAAGTGTGACGCGCCCGTTTCAAATCCCTCCGCAGTCGAACGAAGAGCTCACTGGAAACTGTCCTTGTTCCGCTTCAATGGATAGATAATAGCCCAAGAGTGGTGCCAACTTGTCTTCGACCCCCACTTTTTAAAAAAGCGACCTTTGTATCCATCGGAGGGGGAAGCTAATCCCCGAAAGTCGTATCTGTTTCCATCAGAGAGGGAAAACTCTAATCTCCCTCTTGTGGCTTCCACAATGCTAAGTCAAAGTCGAAAGATAAAGCAAATATGTACAGAAAGGCAAGACCCTCCTGGAGCGTTGGCTGCGACGTCACGGAAACGATGGGATGCTATTGGATGCGGAGGTGGCGGAGGGATATAAGATTCCCTTTGAGGGGCATTTGCTGCTACCTTCTTAACCTGTAACTTACTATAACAAATACCTTCAGGCTTACAACTTCGGAAATGTTTTTGCAATCCAATCTGGGTACGAAGATTTCTGTGAAAGTGTTTGAGTTGTTTCGTGAGATTATAATCATGCAAAAAGCTTTTCTTATAGTGCATTGCAGTCACACGGTGAAGCATGTAACTGTTAGGCACTTCATAGCATCACATCATATATATGCAGCAAAGCTAAGTGCGCATGACTAACTTTTCTGTAATGCATGAGAGCTATGCAGTGAAGCTATATGCATGTGACATTTTGCTTAAATGTATAGAACCTATACAACAAAGCCACATGCAAATAAAATACTTCCCTGCAATGCATTAGGACCATGCAGTAGAGATGCACGTGAGCCCAACAAAAACAGGGGCTGTGCAGTGAAGCTACATGCAAATCACAAGCTTTGCTGCAATGCGTGAGTTATGCATATGACATACTTTCCTGCAATGCATCAGGACTATACAGTGAAAATGCACGTGAGCCCAACAAAGACAGGGGCTATGCAGTGAAGCTACATGCACACGACAAGCTTTGCTGCAATGGGCGAGCTATTCAGTGAAGCTACATGCATGTGGCATACTTTACTAAAATGCATCAAGATTATACAGCAAAGCCAGATGCACCCGGCACACTTTCCTGCGATGCACAAGAGCTATGTAGTGAAGTCATATGCATGTAACATACTTTCCTGCAATGCACCGGGGCTGTGCAGCAAACGCGCACAAATACGTCGACGGAAACGAAGGACACTCGGAGGATATACTTGGCGACCAACAGTGCAGCGAGACCAGAACTCACTTGGGTGTTCCATGGGAGGCCGGCTGGTCAGGACTCGAGTCCGGCGCCGGCGGAGAGAGAGGGGACCGCATGGGCGATCCCCCAGGAACGCTCCCGCTGGAGGACGACGAGGCACTCAGCGTGACTACGTCCTTCCACGAACTGGCCACCGACCCGCTTGTGCTGCTCGCCTGGCACGCTTCTCCCGTCTGCCGGGTGGGGTCTTTCTTCTCGAACAGGTTCTCAAACATGGGCTGGACGTCCCCCAGCGCGGGTTCCTCGGCCAGCAGTCCCCCCGTGAGGCTGCGGAGCGCTGCCTCGGCCTCTAAGATGCGCCGGGCGTCTTCGTCCTCGGGGCAGCCCTGTTCGGTGCTGCCGCCGGAGTTGGCGGTACTGTTGCCACTACCCGCTGCGGATGGGTTGCTGCTGCTGCTACTGGTTGTACTGATAGCAACACCGTTTCCTGCAGTGTGAATGAAAGTATTTTTAGACGGCTGGAAGTTGGTCAGCTCCAGTCAGCATCTGGTGCCTCCTGCATTGTTGTAACAATAATAATGATACCTCGTTATCATTAATCCTTTGTTGACCAGTGTTGCCTAAAGGAAACAAGTCACATCATAATTTTTTTTTGTTTAATAGTTTTGGTTTTATTACATTTTTTTAATCTAGTAGTGTGGCACCAGCCTTGAAGATCAAAACTACATCACCATCTGGTGAAAAGAGATAGTTGATGAAAAAAAGAAGTCTGGCACGCAAATACGCGGCAACCAAGAACGGTAAAAAATATGAATAAGTGTTTTTCTCTTGCCACTAATATTTTACGATAGGTGACCATTTTACTTGAGGCTATCGTATGAGCAGATATTATTGACATTTTATAGTGATTCTTAGAGTTGATACACAAGAGAGCCACTTTCGGCCTTTTACCTAATGTTGTCCACAGGCAATGATGCTATAATTTGCAAGTTTACCTTACGATTTCTTTAGTTTCCGCTCTGTTCTTTTATTTGATCTTGTTAAACGTTAATATCTTAAATGCTTTCATATATTTCAATAATAAAGCCCCATAGATAAGAAATTTGCCAGTGCAGTACTACCGTTAGTTTGTGGACTTTAATGAAAAAACAGCGAGCGCGCAGGCGAGCTGGTGGAAGTTGATCATGATGTAGAATACCCGAGACTGTGGTAAAAGCTGGGAAACTTGGTTGAAGAAAAAAGATGGGAAAAGAACGTCTCTCGGGTATTCTACATCATAATGGACTTTAATGATATCACTCAGCAAAGATACACGACTGCACGCCAATACGATGCTCCCCCACATCGAGGGTCGTATGCAGGAAGCTCGAACTCGGATAGAAACCGAACTGCTCCTCGAGGAACAATTTTCCTGCCGTAGCGCGTGGTACGGGTACACCCCAGACACCATGAATAAAGTTATGAATATGACAAAACAGATCATTACTTGCCTCATAGATTGACAAAAGAGAAAGTAGGCACCCCAAGGTTGGTGGCAAAACATTGCGCGTTTAAGAGAGTAAAAATATTGCACGTATTCTTTTCAGACCGTGACAGATGCACGATCGATCCAACAAGCAGGCAGCTTCCACCACGCTGTCAGTTTATGTCGCATTCGCGCCGCCAGTACATGTCATACAAAAGACAGTTTGCAGACACCATCTGAGGCATGTCTCTTCCTCGTCTGACTGTCGTGTCATGCTGGTCACACAAAAACTGTTCAAAGCATGCGTATGGACGAAGCAAACATGCTTAAATGTGTCTGAGACGTGTCCATAAATAATTCTGTCACCATGCGTGCAGCGAACACCACACCTTTCTTATGATTTACGACCAGTGATGGCAGCAGCTTTAGGGGTGAACAGAGCCATAACACGAGGCTCATGGCAGGCAACAGAAATAAGTCGCACCAGATTCTTGTTCTTGCGGGTGGCGGGCTCTCCCGACGGACCCGTGCGGACTGGCGGAGCGGCTGGAAGTGGTGGGGGCGCAGCCTCTCAGCCGAGGGCCATCTTCCTTGTTGGCTTCGGTGGAGCGAGCGCTCCGCTTGGCTCCGGTCGAATCGTCCCCGGCGTCTGCTGCAGCCCTGCGTTTTCTACCAGGGAAGTACGGCGGCCGTTTATGTACCATTGTGGACCGCAATTTGGTGCCGTATAATGTGCTGTGTTTCTCGCTTTTTTTTTTTAGGCTTCACAGGTCTGTTTAAAAGAGACCGTAGAACTAACACTAAATCTGGTCTGCGTGGGTGGGCTGCATGACCAGGGGGACATGATATGGAAGTCTAACCTTTGCGATAAGTCGAGTAACTAGCTAACGCCCAATAACTTCGTAGTAGGTGAAAATAAACGTATGGTTGCGATTAGAAGCTTGCTGATTGTCATCGAAAAGTACTAAATCAAACTTTAGCGAGACTTGGGGAGAGTAAGAAGTGTGGTGGTGCGCCAAAGTCACCACTAATGCAGCAGGCACAAGGCTAGCGGTGCGAAAATAAGGACGGTAACGTGGCTGTGCGGTCAGAAATTCCTGCTTTCGCGTTGCTGATGTTGCATGAGTGGTAAGTAGTGCGCCATCTCGTGCTTCTCAAGCACTCAGAATCTCGGTCAAATTTACTCACTTAATAGTTCTGGATGATGTTCAGCAAGTTTCTAATTGGAGCCATACATTTATTTTCACTAATTAAAAAGTTAATGAATGGATGTTAGTTAATTATATGACTTACTGTGAAATTTAGCGAGCTGTATTACATCCCCTTGGGCGTATAGACCACTCGCAGAGACCGGATTAGAGTAGCTTTCACGGCTTTTTTAAAACAAAACAAAACTGTTAAGCCTAAAAAAACTATAACATTACATCACTTGTGCAGCAGATGTTTATAGTGTGAAAGGAAATTCGGGTATGTAAACCGAAGTGGACGAAGAACTGGATTCCATAAAAGGAAAGATAGAAATGAAGAAGCGAATGGCTCGGAGCTTCGACAACAGATTCACTTGTTTCTTTTAAATAGTAAACACATCTTTTTCCTTTGTAATTTGGCCCCTGACATTTATTACACAACATCTACTACAAAAGCCCCACTGTGATTAACTATAGCTATAGATACCTTCTGATTTACAATAAGTTTTATTAACTGTAAATTATTTGGTTAGAGTCTTAAAGTGACTTAGAACTTAGTTTCATTACTGCTACTCCTCAGAGTTATGCTGACACATACAGAAACTTGCAGCAATTTATATTAGAAATCAGGGCCACTTGTGGTCCCTGCTTGAGCTTCCCAAGGTTTGCTTCCAAATTTCCAACCGATTTGTAGAGCAAGTTTTAACTATAAGCCTCCAACTTTGTCTCCACAAATGTGGAGAGAAATTGAAGTCACTAGTTGAACTGCAATGGAATGAGTAAATACCTAACACATATTCACAGCAAAAATAGATGCAAGATAAAAAAAAAATGTGCACACATTTCAAAAGGGCAGCTATAAAAAATGTGCCTTTATGTGTAAAGCGTAAAATTTTTATCTATTCCCCAAACTTTTCATAGATGTGCTAAAAAAAATAAGTAAGCAAGGCAATATTTTACGATTTACTGCTTTTATATGCTAAGATGTTGTCTGCACTACATCGGGATTTGATGTTATTCTATCGGATTAGCACGAGTCCAGAAACATTTTATGGTGAGGAAATGCGATGAATACCGTAGGCATAAAATTGTATGGGAAATAAAATAAGTTAATTTATTTGACTTCACAATTAAAACAAAAGCAGAATATAACGCATAAACACATCTTTTGCACGAAGTAAGGCGGAGCACAAGATGTTCATTGCATTTAGTAATAAAGAGGAACATGAAAATGCATAAACACATCAGTTATAAATAAATGTGAAAATGTACCTTCCTGACTCCTGAGCCGCTGATTTGTGAAAGGCAGGAGAAAAGAATTGAAGCAGGCATTAAGCACACTCACAGTCAAAATCTGCAAAAATTGCTCTGCTAGCCCTGCAACCAACTTTCATAGCAACTGCCATGTCTACCTGAATAAAACCAGGCTTTCTCTTCCTTTAGATTAATAAAAGAAAGTTTAAAAAACTGCCTCAAGCAAAAAGCTTCATAAGTAACAGCCCACCACAATAACAAGCTTATATAAAGAGGCCATACTGCCATCCTTTAGAAAATAAGCAGTGGTCCTCTATCTGACTTAGTAGTTGTCTAATGTGACATGAAATTTCAGTATTCTTTAGCAAGACCATTATTACAATTATAATTTTTACGAATCAATGTTACAGGCTCTCAAAAATATAATGTCCAATGGGGTTTGTTTGTTGCACTGTTAGAATTTTTTCAGCTCCATTTCATGTAAACAAATGCATAAATTTACTCAACAATGTGAACCTAACCAAGTAAGACAGAGTAATTAAGTTTTCACTGCACCTGGTTGACTTTTCGTGCGCGTGCTCTTTCTCGAGTCCTCAGCCTGCAAAGAAAATGCCAAAGTTAAGTGCAAACAACAGAATGCTTTTGACACAGTATAAAGATGTAAATATGGCTCGTGGAAAGGCTTCAGGTATGAATGATATTTATTAAGGTTGCCTCGTGAACTGGATGCATGCTTCACTCATTAAAATTTTTTCAGATGAGACATGTAAATTTTTAGTTGTTGATAAAGACGTCTAATTTTCATCTGTTCACCAATGAATTTTATTATGTTGCAACTGTTTTTATATTAATGTTTTTTTAATTCTTGCATAATTTCTAGAGACAATTTTTTGAATGAACAATAAAAATTGTGAGAAAAACAACAATATGACCCAGATGTGACGGTGAGTATGTCACATAAATCCATCCAAATTCCGGTGGGGAAGGAGGGATATAGCTTGTCATGGCAGCATTTAAATTTTTTATTATTATTTTGAAAAAAAAAATGATCTGGTCTTGGAAGGAACTAACATAAATAAATAAACATAATGTAAAAAGAAAACAAGCTTAGCTTTCTATTGAACAGTAATGAACTTTACATAGGAGGTTTCACATACAACAGTCGCGGTTATAATTTCGTAATTACCATAGTGAGATAACTTAAATGGAAAGTTTGCGATGTGATTTGACAATCTATTCTTCTTCATATACTGTAAAATACTGGGGAAGCACCCACCCTACTTTCTCTGAGAACTGGGTTATTCCAGACATGAACGCTTGTCTGGTCAAATCGGTAAAAACCAAGATGGCGATCAATAAAGATCTTTGAAATCAGGGTGGACGGTATCGGAAAGAGCACATTTTTTGCATGACGCCCCCGTCGTCGCCACTGCCGGTCTTGTGGCCACCGCAACAGGGTGAAACTTTTCACCTGATGCCGGCGCTTTGGAGGGGGTCAGTGCCTAACATACAATTTCCAGAATTCCGAAGTTTAGGAAATGTCAATAGTGGGTGTTTTGTACGAAGTGGGTGCTTATGCAATATTTTACAGTATGTGTAATAAAAAAAAAATTATCAACACTTTGCCAGTATGCATATCTTGAAAACAGCACATTGGATGCTATTTTTTCCCTGTATACTGAACAAAAATTTAAGAGGAAGGCCAATATCACATGGTGTCCCCCCCCCTCACCACTCACCAAATACCCAGATCCGTTCGTAATTTACCCTGATACGTAGTTTGTTGCATTCATATAACATAGTTTAAGAAACATTTATAAGTCTTCTGGTGGCTATAGCACCATGAGTGACCATGAAGTTCCACAAATGCTATGCCGACATTTCCTAAGTGTAGTTCATATATATGCTACCACGAGTAGTGAAATCAACAGCCAAGTTTCGGTCAACGTACCAGGAGCATTAAATATTGATTGCTACCCATATAATAATAATAATAATAATAATAATAATAATTTATTTTTGACTGACAACACAGTACATTATCGATGGAGGAGGCCAAGGAAAACAGCTGTTCATAGACAGCTTGACGAGCTCTCGGACCTCTTTCAAAGACACAAAGGAGTGTTTAAAAAAGTGAAAAAAGGCATATAAACAGCATAAACACACATTATAGTCACATTATAAGAACTTAAACAAAAGCAAGAATATCAAATCGTTTATAAATTTATTTTTATATTATATTAAAGGCATTTGCCTTTAATATTCTGGAAACAATTTAGACTGCTCGGAAGTAACCTTTATTAGTAATGTATATGACAGGGGTGGCCAGGCTGACCCGGCCTAAAGGCCCGTTCACACTCTTGCGACCGAGTACGACCGAGAGAGACCAGACCGGTTTTTAAGCCTCTTGCAATCTCTTAGGACCGGATACGCTACAGCGGAGCTGGTCTTAAGGAATCGTAAGAGGCTTAAAAACGGGTCTGGTCTCTCTCGGTCGTACTCGGTCGCAAGAGTGTGAACGGGCCTTTAGAGCCGCAAACAAAACCACGAAACTTCCAAGAACCAACGGGGGGGGGGCAGGATTTAGAGGGAAAATTTCTGTTTAGAGCGACAAATGAAACTCGAACTACTTTCAATCTACCCGAGTCAAACGCAGTCCATCTGCACATAAGCTAGCAGTAGCACAAGACTACCAAACCACAACCTGTCTTTTGATTTAAAACGCGTTCCATTTTTCTTTTGGGGGAAGTGTTCGTGTGACCGGGAGGGTGGCGGGGGGCGGTAAGGGAGGGAGCCGTGAGCCGCACTTTAGCACGTGGAGAGGTGCATGCGGCTCGCGAGCCACAGCTTGGCCACCCCTGGTATATGACATAGATTTACAGCATCCACAGACAAAATTCAAATGAAACATAGGGATTGAGTAAAAGGAGCGGTGCAGCGATATTCAATTGGAATGTTTTTCACTTTACACGAGCTTACTGGCACTAGTGAGACTCAAGGATACTCGCACGCAATGCCACTGGCCGACAAACTCCTTTGTTGCGGTGTAATTTTAAGGACAAAATTAAGTGATCATTTTCATTAAATCTCTCCTTTGCAAACTCTGATGAGGTAACGTGGGAATCGCAGTACACCCCAATAACAATATTTGAATATTTGAGTCCGATTCATAGATTGGACTCGAGCATTGCGTGGGCACTCAATTTGGGCTCGTGATAATTACTAGCTCAAGAAGCATTCGAGTAGTGGCCCGTGTCCAATCC